GCCCAACCATCATAACGTCCATGGTCTGCTGCAATCTGACAAGGGAGCATCCGGGGGGTGGGCAATGGTAACGTCCATGCTGTATGGCGTTCTGGGCACGACCAGGATGACTTCCATGGTCTGATGCAATCTGACAAGAGAGCATCCAGGTGGGCGGCATGATAACGTCCATGGTCTCATGCATTCTGAGCGCAGAGCATCCACGCTCCAACCACGATAATGTCCATGGTTTGATGCTTTCTGACAAACCTGCATCCATGGGGGTGCTCTGCTGCGTTCTGAGAAGAGAGCATCATCCATGCACCGACCATGACGTCCATGGTCGAATGCGTTCTGGGAAGACAGCATCTATGGGCCAACCATGATAACATCCATGCATGCTCAAAGGGTTTTGAGAACCGTTCCCTGATCACGGCTTCTGGTTTCCGAAGGATGCGCCTGGTTTCTGAGTCATCAGCCGTTGTGGTTTCCGAATCAGCCCGTTCTGGTTTCCGAATCATGGTGTGGTTTCCGAATCAGTCGGTCTGGTTTCTGATTCAGCCGTTCTGGTTACCGATTCAGTCGTTCTGATTGCCGATTTGTCCGCCGGCCGAGCTTGGGGACAATGTGCCCTGAGTATGACCAGCCACTGTATCGCTTTGCTCCGGTGGCTGTCACTGTAGACAGATGCTAGCTGCTGTAGACTACACAAGCTGCAGCCAGCGGTGCTTTCTCTGACAGTGCTGTTGTGTAAATGAGACCGTCAAAAAACGCAATTTTTGCCCTAATAAGCCTTTTGGCCATCCGAAGTCTCAAACGTTCAGCCGCAGTGTCTCGAAACCCGAAACGAACCAAGGTCAGGATCGGGGATCACCTGATTCGCTTGCCGCGCGCCTTGATTGACAGCACTACGCCCGCCGCCCGCCTGAAGATGCGGTAAGGGATTGACCATTCGGAGCTGAGCCTTGAGCAGTCAATTCCAATCGATACACACGAAAAGGCAATTGTTTCGGCACATCTACATGAATCTACCATGGTACCGGGATCCTGGTCTGCCGTCAAAGCAAGCAGTATGAACTCATTGACCCTCGCAGCCACTTGGGCTCCGTCCGTGAACAACATGGGCCGAACTTTCTTATGGTTCTGGCTCCTGGCGGCAGCATGGGTGCGGTCTGAAGATGAGGTGGATGGTGGGGATATCCTGGATGCTATGCTTGGTGCACCGCCAGCCACACCTCAGATTCAGATTCCTACCATAGCGCCCGTGATCGCAACCACCCCGGCGCCGATCATCTCGCCGAACAAGCCGGGTTGTGCCGCGGATATCACGTCGGCTTTGCACGACCTGACGGTCGTCGCCCGAATGCTCACATACGTCACAGCCGACTGCGCCCAGCCAGGCCAGGATTCTACCGTCTGCGCCGCCGACATCCTGCAGATGATCAGATACATGGGGAAAGCGGCCGGAATCATCTCCGATGCTGTGTTTACCTGTGGCAACATCCAAGCAGGATGCAGTCAAACAATCGCGGACGCCATCGGAGAGTTGGCTCATCTCACAGGCTTTATCGTAGCGATGGAAATTCAGTGCGATGCCTCCAGGCTGTTTTGCGCATCTCAAGTCTTCCACTTCCTTTCCTCCGGGCTTCACTGTGCGAAGAACATCGACACGGCAATTGTGCAGTGCCCTTTACCTGGAGGTGACGGCGGCGACGATGGTGGCGACGACGCCGGTGGAAGCGATGGTGATGACGGCGGCGATGGGGGTGATGGCGACAGCAGCGGTGCCACAACAACAGAGGCAGAAGCCCCGCCGGACCTGACGCCTGATCAAGTGAAGACATTCTATCCAAATGGGCCGAACGGCGCCCCGCCTGTGCTCGGAGCAAAGCCCAACCGCTTGCTGTTAGGCCCATCGCTACGTGGCAAATGGGGACGCTCGAACCCACCCAGGGCGGCGATGGCTCCGTCCATTCTTTCTACGACCGTCGAGGGCCTGGAGTGAGGGCGTGAGGTTTCTGACTGAAGATGGGGAAGCTTGGGCTTGTGTCGGGGTTTTTACTATACAGGGATTTTGAGACTGGTGTTCTCTCAGTACTGGTACTGGCTTCCAATCTTGTGCCATCTTCTTGGGGTCAGTTACCAGACCTGTTCAATGTAACAGGCTCTGACCATGTTGTCGAACTGATGCATTTAGGTGTGGTTCTACCTGTAACGTGCAGTGCAGTGCTGCTACTGCTAAAGTAGACTTCCGAAGCAGCTGCCGCGATGCTGACTATGAACCTTGCCTAGCTTGTCCAAAAGTGTCGAAGGATTCTGGATCAGAGAGGTGAGGAGATGAGTTAAAGGCTTCAGTGCTTTGGGGGACTAGGGCATTACATCACAATTTCCAGTCGCTTGTTGTTCCGCAGGGCTTGCTGCTCTTGCATGCCGGTCCCCATAAAAGGTTGTGTGAGTGCTTGGTTTTAGCTGTGGTGCAGTGTGGTATGGTGGTTTTTGTGAATGTAGAGGCTGTTGCTGACTAGCCTGGTCCGAAGCGAGCCCATGTGTGCACTGACCAACCTTGATGGCTCAAGTCATGCGAGTGCAAAACTCTGAGTGTTGTGCACACCAAACTTGCTGTCAGTTTTCAGATTGGCAGCGGAGCCATCGAGCTCCTAGGTTAGCCTTTGGAGGTGAGCCTTACCACGCTTCGGGGCCCGGCAGCTTGGTCTCTGGGTTTTCCATACGACAGCGGCTGCACTTAAGGGTGTAGTCTCTTCCTTGCTTCCAGAGCCCATGGCATTACTGGAAGGCCTGACATGGCAGAAGTTCATGGAGATATCAGATAACGAATGCACTGAGGGGAAGTATGGCATTCCTCGCTTCGATGGTTCCCTCCACCTGCTCCAGGAGTATTCCTACCGAGTGAAGATGAAGGAGCTCAGGGAGAAGGACCTCGAGGCTTCAGAGGCCAAGAAGCTGGGACCGCTTGGGCTTCGTTTGGTGGAGGGGCTTCGTGGTCCGGCCCTCCACGTGGTGAAGCGGATCTCACAAGATGTTTTGGCTTCGGACAAGGGGCCCTCCAAGATATTAGCGGAGCTGGCGGCGACTTTGAGGCCCCGACGCACCCAGGAAGCTCGGGAACTCTACTTGGCCGGTTCTCGCGAGGGAGGCCCCTTGGCACGACAGTTCGGAGAACCTATGAGCATATATGTTCTCCGCCGGCGGTCCTGGTGGAGTATTCTTCAGGACTTGGACTCGGAGATCAAGATCCCTGACTTGATCTTGGCCGAGCAGACGCTTCAGAATGCCCGGGTCACCGAGGACCACGCCTTGATGATCAGAACCTCACTGGGCCAGGTCATCACTATGGACGGCGTTTGCTCTGAGCTCGTGAACCAGCACGGGGCCATCCACCTGAAGGAGAAGCGCGACCGCGGCCCGGCAAACTCGTGGCGACCGCGGCCCCACTTTGGCAAGAACGCCTCCAAGAGCAAAGGCAAGGGCTATGGATATGCGGTCTGGGAGGATAGCCCCAGCCACGACGAGTACCAGGACGAGGCCTACTATGGAGCCGAACCAGCAGCCCCACAACACTGGGATTCGGCCAGCCAAAGCCTTGGTGGATTCGAGGATGATACGGCCAGCGGCTTCTATGGAGAAGGCCCGGAAGTGGAGTACGCAGAGCCTGAGGACCCGGCCCTTGTGGTTTTTTCGGCTATGGTGGCCGAGGGCTTCAACGAGGCAGACCCCGAAGGAGGTGAGATTGGGGCCGAAGTCCTGCAGGCCGAGGCGGAGGCTTTTGTGGCAAGGCAGTTCGCGAATCAACGGGGCCACCAAGGCTTTGCAGGACGGCGCTTTGAGTTCCGAGGCGAGATGTCCTTGGAAGAGAGAAAGGCGAGGGTGAACGCCTTGAAGCAGCGAACCACGTGCCGGCGATGTGGGCAAAAAGGGCACTGGTCAACGGACCCTCAGTGTCCCAAAGGCGGTGGCAAAGGAGGTGGCAAGCGACCTGGCTCCTCGACAGCCAGCCAGACGACAGCGGCGTCCTCCCAAGGGAAAGGCAACAAAGGAAAGAAGGGCCCCGCCAACAAGCCGAGAACAGTTTACTTTGCCGTGCGAGAAGGGCAGCCCGAAGAGGCGACAGGGTACATGGCCTATCGGCGGGTCCCACCGCCGACCTCCTTGGACGAAGCACCGGCCGCACCAGCACCGAACTCACTGAGCGGAGTGGCACCGCCTTCGGTTATGTCAGCTGGTCCTATGCCTGTGCCGGGGACTTTGTCACAGTTGCTGCGGGGCACCTCGGCGAGAGCACCTACCGGCTCTTCCTCGGCGGCGCCTTCGGGTATGCCCCCGGCGGCCACACCGAGTATGGCATCGGCGTCTTCGTTGGCCTTGCCTTCGGCAGCTTCACCCGCCTCGCCTTCGATGAGCCCAGCCGAGGACCGACCGAACGAGGGAACCGCAACTGATTCTTCGCTGGCTGTTTCTTCCCGGAGCTGGCAGGTGGTGCCCGGACAGGACTGGGATCATACAATGTTGTTCCAGGCTCTCCAGGCCAACAGCGACGTGGTCATTGATCAAATGCTGGAGGCGACTCGTGCGATGGACACGGCGGAACCTTTGCCACTCGAGCCGCCTACTGCTGTTGTCGCTCCAGAGCCAGGGCTGATACCACCGGGAATGCAGGAGATGGCTGCCTTGCAAATGCCCTCTCCTACGGGAGAGCTAGACAGCTTGAGCGATTTCACGCTCACCTCGGCAGAGCCTGAGCTGAAACCCTTGGTGGCAACGGAACCTTCTGCTCCCGAGGTTCAGGAGGAGGAGACTCCACCACTTCGTGGGCATGACTGTCGGCATCTACGAGTTACCACCAAGGGCAGCAACAAGTTCTACCACATAAAGACGTGCCTGGACTGTGGCCAGCAGCTGGAGAGAACGAGGAAGGAGCAAGCAGAGCCTACGCAGCCAGCTGGGCCCTTGAGACCGGTGCAGGGATGCCCTCATGCCAATGTCACGCGGCAGGGCACGAACAGCCATGTGTGGAGGTGGCGTTGCAAGGACTGTGGTCTTACTCGAGAAGGCCGGCAGAATCCCGGGACGGCCCGGGCGATGGGTCACGGTGCCTTGGGACAGGGCACCCTGGACGCAGGAGTCGACACCGCTGCGGTTAAGGTCCTGGAGATGGCGGGCACCGTGGTGATGGTGCAGGAGAGCGGCGGCTTAGCAGTCCCATTGGACCGCCTACCACACATTGTGGAGAAGTGCTCCGAGATTTACCAGCGGCGTTATGGAGCACCCTCGGCTTCTCAAGAGCCTGTGCCGACAGAGCACAGCCAGGCCGCAGCCAAGCCGGCAGCCAAGGCCCGGGCAGATCGGACGACAAGTGTGGCGACCACTGGGGACCCGGCCGGCATCTCCGATGCGGCGCTGGTCCTTTGCGGCAAGTACAAAGGGGAGAGCTTCCGCGATATCTATTACAAGTGCCCTGAGTATGTCGATTGGATCCTTGCCCAGGCCAACAACTTGACGGCGCGTTCCCTGGTTGACTTCCACAGGTATATCCTGGCCAAGCGCAAGAAGGAGAAAGACGCAACACCGCCACCACCGCAGGCCTTTATGGCACTTTCCGAGCCCAACAGCGAGGACAAACTGCTTGCTGTACTGGACACCGGTTGCAACCAAACGTGCCATGGGTCGGAGTGGCTTCAGGCTTACATTCAGGCCTCCGGTGCGGTGTTGTCCCCGTTGGTTGCTTGCGACTCTGCGGGACTCAATGGCATTGGCGGCAGGGTGCAGGCGACGGGCAAACGAATCCTGAAGATTGCCCTCCAGATGCGGGACGGTACCCTGGCGGAGGGGACGATCGAGTCTGTGGAGCTCTTGGGTTCGCAGGCCCCGCTTTTGATGAGTTGCCAAGCTCAGCGACAACTGGGTTTGGTGCTTGATCTTCCCGAGGGCCTACAGCAAGGTTTTTGGTCGCGACCTGGACCTTGTGGATCGCGACGGGCTACCGGCTGTTCGTTTGTTGCCCTTTGGCCCGGGAGACGAAGAAGGTCCAGGGTCGCAGCACTTTGCTATGACGGCAGAGAGGGTGTTGGAGCTAGACCGGGCGGAGGAGCAGGACTTTTGGCAACAGCAAGGCGACATGTGGATTCGAGTTCATGTTCGTGCCCGGCGTTGCCTTTATGATCCGCGCCGGGAACCCAGCCAAGAGAGCGAGATTGAGAACGGCCTGGCGGACTACCCGGTTCGCTTCACCGAAGCCACCGCCGCCGATGGCAGCACCAAGGAGGATTTCCAAGACAACTGGCTGGAGACGGGCAACAACGATGTCACCGACCTCCTGGGTGGCCCTTGGCGTGGTTACACATATTTTCTCAGAAGTGCCCCGGCCACCGAGGAGAGTGCTGTGGAACCGGAGTCTTCGACAGCCCTCTTTGTGACGTTTGACACCGAGGACAAGGCCAGAAGGGTGCTCACCAAAGGTCAGAAGAGGCAACTGGCGGAATGCACCGAGGCCGCCTCCCGCAAGGATGCCGCCATGTGGTCACAATTGTCCTCGGAGGCTTCTTTTCACAACAGCCGCAAGATGTTACCACGGGGCTGTCGGCACTTCCTGCTGGAGTTGTTTGCGGGGGCGGCGGCGTTGACTATGATGGCCGGTCGCTTCGGCATCCCCTTTTCGAACCCGGTGGACCTCCAGGACCCCAATGGCAACCTTGAGGACAGTGACGTGCGAGACCGGCTGTGGGCCAGAATCGAGGCAGAAGATCCCTACTTCCTCGTTGTGGCGCCGAACGGTCTCCCCTGGAGCTTGCCGCCCACAAGGAGGAACAAAGAACAACAAGAAGCCCGACGTCGATGGTACCCGGTTGCCCGCTGGCTGGCGGATTTGTTCAAGAGCCGGCTGGCAAAAGGGAGACAGGTGGCGCTTGAGAGTTCCTGGGGCAGCCCGCTCTGGGAGATGAAGTGCTTCCGGGAGACCTATGGCGCGGAAGATGTGGTCACCAATGAGGTTCTCGAGGTGATCCCCTATGACCAGGGCACGGCAGGCTTCAAGGACCGTCGCACCGGGCAAGTTTGCCAGAAGACAGCTGGGCTGATGACGGCCTCCGGTCAGCTTAAAAGGGCTATGCTTGAGTACCAGCCGGAGGCGGCGCATGGAACACCCAACTCAGTTCTGCTTCTAGACCCTCAGTGGCCCGAACCTCTGTGTGAGAGCGTGCTGCGTGGAGTGGTGCGTGAACTTGAGGACCTCAACTGCGCCGTGGCCTTTGCCGGGGAAGCTGAGCTAGAGGATGGCGAGGAGTTCGGCTTGATGGATTCGGTTGGCCCCGGTGAAGAGGTTCCTTTGCTTCCGGGCCCCGCCGCAGCTCCTGAACTTCAGCGCGAGGAAAATCTCGAGGAGGAGCCGGAGGGCGAGCAAGCAGACACCGAGAAGGTTCGCAAACAGAAGTGGCTAGCAATTTCCCGCAACCAGCGCTTAGCAATTCGGCGGCTGCACCATATGACCGGGCACGCCAGCAACGAGTCGATGATGAGAATGTTGCGTTCAGCTGGCTCGGGACCAGCCGTGGTTGCTGCTTGTCGCCATTTTCGTTGCCAGGTCTGCCGAGAACAGCAGCAGCCGAGCGCACCGCGCACAGTGGCCGAGCCGCCCGCATATCAGTTCAACTTTCAGATTGAGTGTGACGCCTTTGAGGTAGCAGACGCGGCCGGGAACAAGCACACTATCTTGTCTGTGGTCGACAGCGGCACCCGCTTCCATGTGGCTGGCTGGGTCGCTCCGGGTGGCACACCGACCTCGAAGGCCTGTGCCACCTTCCTCAATACAGCGTGGCTCTCGTGGGCAGGCTCTCCTCGAGTGTTCTCTTCCGACCAAGGAGTACACAACAAGGGCCACCTCTTGGCCCTTCTCAAGGCCCATGGCGTGGAAGTGAAGCAGGCTGGGTGAAAGCACCGTGGCAGATTGGCGGTGCGGAGAGGCACGGTGGGCTGCTGAAGTCTATGATGAAACGCGTCATTGCCACACCAGCTTGGGCCAGCTTGTGGGAGAGTTTGCGGTGTCGGCGGCGGCGACCCAATGTGCTTCTGTGAAGAATTCTGCTTTTGTCCATGCAGGGTTTTCTCCGGCCCAATGGGTTCTAGGCCGGCTGCCCTTTGATGGCACCTCTCTGGCAAGCGAACAGCGACTGGAGCAGCTGGGTGTGCAGCAGGCCATTGTGGATGGCGAGGATCAGTTCAGCCGGTCGCTTATGATTCGGCAATGGGCGAAAGAGGCCTATGTATACGTGGACTCCAGCCAGAGGATAAGAAGGGCGATGCTTCGACAATCACATCCCCTTCGAGGACCCTACCAAGCCGGGGACCTTGTGAGCTACCACCGCCGTGGAAAATGGTTCGGCCCGGCCCGGGTCCTGGCACCAGAAGGGAAGAGTTCCTTGTGGTTGGTCCATGCGGGCATGACGGTGTTGGTTGCGGACACCTGCTGCAGGCCAGCGTCGGTGGAGGAGATTCGGCGACGAGAGGCCTTGGAGAAGAGGCCGACGTGGAGCAGAACTGGTGGGCAACCCAAGCGAAAGTTTGAGGAATTCCTTGAGGACGTAGAGGAGGACCTTCCGTTCGCCCGGGACTTGCCCCAGTATGCCGAGAACGACTCAGGACAGCAGGTGCCCTACTTTGACTTCGTCACCAGCGCGCCGGTGAATGTCGAGAACACCGCCACTGAAGCCCCAGACGCGGCTATGGAGCCGGATGTTGTGGAGACGACGCAAGGAACAACGCCAGAGCGCCAGACCACACAGCCGGAGCAAGAGCCGCCGGAGGAGGCGACCGCGACATCGACCGGAAACCCAACGACATCTACCACCACAGGGGGATTGCTAGACCAGGCGGTGCCAACTGAGACGGAAACGGATCAACAGGACACGGTTTCCTTAGAGCAGGAGGCCCAGATACCGGCGACATCGGCCGGAAACCCGACGACATCTACCACCACAGGGGTCCCTACCATTACGCCTTTGCAGAGGGCTATGCGCAGGTCTCCTGACGATGTGGATGGTGTCCCTAGGTCGGCTAGATCTGGCAGGTCACGTTCACCTTTGCCACATGCGGCTGGTCTCTTTGTTTCAGAACCGCCAGGTCTATCTCGCAATGGAGGACCCGAGTACCGAGACCTTGTTGGAGAGCAACGGCAACGAGGGGAGAAGGAGAAGGCCAAGCGAGCTTTGGTTTTCCTTGCAGGTCGCACCGAGAAAGCTTACAAGAAAAAGGCTGTGAAGAAAGGAGCTGGAAGGGAACTCCACTACAACCGGGAGACCGAGGAGGTGCAGCAGGCGATGCAGCAGGCCAGGCGAAAGGAATGGGACAATTGGAAAAATTATTCCAATATGAAGAAGCTGTCGCGTCAGGAGTTTGCCGAGATGAAGAGAAAGGACCCAGCGTTGCGCATCATACCCACCAGGTGGGTGGACACCAACAAAGCCGAGGAGGGACAGCCTATGAAGGCGAAGAGCAGGTTTGTGGTCAGAGGCGACATGGAGGATGCCTCGGGTATGCGCACGGATTCGCCTACGGCTTCCCAGGTGGCAATGGGCATGTTGGTATCGTTCGCGGCAGCAACTTCGAGGCCTTTGAAGAGCGGCGACATTTCGGCGGCTTTTCTCCAAGGGTCTGTGTTGGACCGTTCCCTTGTCCTCAGCATGCCAAAAGGGGCCGCACCATACGACATGGAGGAAGACGATTTGGTCTTGGTGTCTACTACAGTCTATGGCACCAAGGACGCACCCCGCGGCTGGTTCAAGAAGTTGGATGGATCTCTTCAGAAGAAACAACTGAGGAGAGTGCCCATGGAGCCCGGGTTCTATGTGCTGAACGGGCTTCGAGGAGACGGCACCGTCTACATCAAAGGCCTCCTTCTGATCCACGTGGACGATATCCTCTGGACCGGCGACCAGGACATGAACCGGATCATGGAGGAGATCCAGCTTGAGTATAAGTTCGGCTCCCTGGATACCGGCACCTTCAAGTACTGCGGCAGGATCCTGGCCCAGACCAAGGAGGGAATCTCTGTCACGTGCCCGGACCTCATCACGCGTGTGAGGCCGATCCAGCTCCGACGAAGGGGACAGAGGCAGGCCGCAGCCACAGAAGTGGAAAAGGGGCAGTTACGCTCCGTGACGGGGTCCCTGAATTGGCTGGTCAGGGTTTGTAGACCAGACATTGCCTATGGCGTGGCCAAGCTACAGTGTGCTGTGAACAAGCCCTCCGTTCAAGACCTCGTCGACGCTAACGCCTTGGTACGCTACGTGCAAAAGACCAAAGAGAAGGGGCTTTTCTACAAGGCCGGAGCCCTCAGCTTCGAGGACGTGATGCTGGTGGCAGTGCAAGATGCTTCTTATGCCGCCGACTTCGACGTCTCGGAATCAGGGAAGAAGATGGGGTTCCGCAGCCAGAGCGGGCGCATTTTGTGCCTGGCTCCGCGAAGCTTCGCCACAACCCTCGATGAGCACCTTTACCCGATAGAGTGGCACAGCACGGTGATCAGGAGAGTGCGCAAGTCCACTCTCCAGGCGGAGAGTCTGAGCTTGCAGCTGGGAGCAATGGAGGCAGAGCATGCACGCTGCGTCTTGCATGGCATGCATCTGGAGCAGCCCAAGATGGACACGACTTCTTGGGTTATCGGGGCCCAGGACCGTACACCTGTGATGTGGGTCACCGACTGCTACAGCCTCCTGGCTCACTTGATGAACCCGGCAACCGGGACCGTGGGTGACAAACGCTTGGCTATAGACCTGTGTGCTCTTCGGCAAGAATTGTGGCGTCTCCGTGGAGAGTTTGTAGGTGATCCGCTAGGGCAAGACAAACCGCCCAAGAAGCCATCGACGTGTATAGTTTGGACAAGCACCGACCGGATGCTTGCAGATGGCTTAACGAAGAAGCTGAATGCCCATGAGCCAATGGAAAAGCTCATGCAGGGGCAGCGGATCAGCATGGTGCCGACTTCGGACCAGAAAAACCTTACCGGTGTGAATGTAGAGGCTGTTGCTGACTAGCCTGGTCCGAAGCGAGCCCATGTGTGCACTGACCAACCTTGATGGCTCAAGTCATGCGAGCGCAAAACTCTGAGTGTTGTGCACACCAAACTTGCTGTCAGTTTTCAGAGTTTTCGCCGGGACAGGATGTGGGTGTAGTTGTGGCATCTGAAGGCGGACTTGTCGTGAAGTCTTACTTGTGTTTCGAGCGTGAGTCGAAACCACCAAAACACTTACCCAACCGACCCCTTGGCCGGGTTGTCCGAGAGTGAGCGCCGACACCGTACAGGCTCTCCTGTTTGATGATTTGCTCAGGAGATGCTGGAAGAGATGCTCCGGCGGAGTTTGGAGAGAATCTCCGAGCAATGAGCGCCGTTGCTTCGGAAATCAGGAGCCACAGTGGCCTAGAAACTTTAGAGCAACAAAAAGTCATGAGGCTTGGGCTTAACGATTAAAGCAGAAGCAGCGAACTTCAGCTCGCACAAGTCTGCAACAACGGTCCTCGAGATAGTCTATTTAGCCCATCTCCCGAAGGAAAATGGACTGGGATGGCTCCCCAAATTGCCAAAACCCAAGTTATTCCTGGAGTTCCCTTTAAGCTCTTCGCAAAAGCAGCTTGCCAAGAGGGGTGGGTTGTCGTTCCAGAAAACAACACAGATGTGCTGCTTGTAGCTCTTCATGTGACATCCGCCTACTGCTACTACCACCTGCATCAGAATTTCTGCAAGTGGACGAGTCCACCTGCTTTTCACCCTGAACCCTAAATTCTAAACTTTGTCCGGCTGGTGCTCAAACCCTAGTACTAGGCTTTGCAAGTCGTCTCTTTCCTGGGTCACACAGTACTTCCTACCTGCAGTTGCAACATCAAACATAATATCTATTCTGCGTATATGACTCTTTGCTGCACTGTTCTCGCCGTGATCATCCATGATGGTGGTATGGTCGAGCCGTTTTAGCAACAACTGCAAGAACAAACAGCAATGGCCACGAAGAAGAACGACAGTCACACATTTTCAGAGATCTTAGTCAGTCGCCTGTGCATAGCCCCTGGAGCGGTTCGACGAAGAGGTGGATTTTTTCATGGGGCCGAGCCGGACAGTCCTCATAGCAATCCAGGACAAGACAAGACCGCAGAGTAGGTTGTTTCAAAAACTGGGAGTTTCCGAAAATAAGGGGTGCCTTATGCTGGGGTCCTGATAATAAGGATCCTACTATTTACTAAAAACGGGTCCCCTAGTTTCGGAAACCCCCAAATGTGCCAGTGGTTCAATCGACCGAAATACCTTTTCGTCGAACCTTTCGAGGTTTCCCAAGGGCTGTTCCGAAGCGAGCTGCCCGACAACAGGGTGGCCGATGCTACCTTTGCACTAAGGCTTTAAGGGTTTGACGGCACAGGGCTGAGTAGAAGTATTTTGTCAGTTTGCCACCAAAGGGTCTGGCACCATTTGCCTGCGAAGCCCAAGGAAACCAGATACACATCCTTGAAGTAAGCCGGATCCGAAAACACGAAACACTACGCCGTTGACCTAAGACCCTAAAGCTGCAAAGTGGTAGGTTATAACTCCTAATTGGCACCCGGTGTTAAATAATGTGTGCTTGAATTTCGCACCCGACTAGGCATCAGTAGCAGTAGCAGTAGGAGGAGGAGCTTCGGTAAAGCTTGCAGTCTTGTGACAAGAGCCTCAGCACCTCAGCTAAAGCGTTCACTAGTAATTGCTCCCGATGGCGCTGTAGAAGGAGAGCACCACGAATATTCGGCCAAACCAACTTCATATCAAAGCCAGTACCTGAAGCAATCACTAAACCAACTGTATCCTCACCTATAAGAAGGTCACCGATTTAACCTGTGTGCAATCTCAAAGGCCCCAGACTGTACAGGCCAATAAAGGTCAGATTCGTGCGAGCGTGTGAGTCGAAACCCCGGAGCGCGGAAATCCTGATAAAGAATGACACATGAGGCTTCCCTACAAGTGGGGGCTCTGCTAGAGCAGCCCTTTTAATATGGCTCTGACGCAGATCCCGTGCCCAAAGCGATGCGATTGTGAGAAAGGGAGGGAGGGTGTTGGAGTTTGTGGGGCTAGGTGTCAGGATTTAGGACTTTGGTCTGGGGTTACTTTGTGCTTTAGGATTGGGAGCGAAGCGCTTCCGGTTTGGAGTGAGTTCTAGTTCCGGGCATCTTAACGAAAACGCTTTATGTTCCTGTGATGCGCAGATAGGCCACAGGCACATGCTGAAGAGTGGCCTGATGTTATGAATACTTGTAGGTGCTGGCGATGCTGATTCTGGAGGTGACATGCTGAAGATGTCCGGCTATAGTAATCATAGCTACCACGTTGCAACAGGAAGGGTTATCGATTACCTACGGGTGGTTGGAGGTCGGTGAAATAGGTGAGTTTAAATTCAATACAGTTTCGTTGCATGTGTGTTTGATTTCTGCAGCTGAAGCACATCAGGCGATCTGCAGTGTTGGTTTCCTTGCGGTGTTGCGGTGTTGAGTACTGGCACTCTTTCGTTTTGGATGCTTGGGCTAGGTAGGATTCGTGCAGGTCTCCCAAAGGTTGCTGAGCCAACGGTCGATGCAATGAGCCAATATATCAGCTTTAAGTTGGATGCCAGGCGTACAGCAGTGCTATCTATGAATGGTGCAGGATGTGTCAGCTACCAGCAATGACAGTGACCCGCATCGTGGCTTGGTGCTGATTACTCCATATATGGAATACAAAGAGGACCGCAGAAATGCTCAGCGCAAGATTTCTCTATCCTCAACGATTCTGATATGATCGTGGGTTGAGAATCAGAGCGGTCGCCATAGAGTCTATAGAGCCGAAGCCGGGGGCAGCAGAGAAACCCACAATAGTCTTGCCTTCGGTCGAGGATGTACAGAGCCTTCAGAGTCCAGAGAGTTGGGCTAAGTTAGGTTTTTCGTAGGCTACATGAAGTATTCTTCCAGCCTTGTCACTGATTTCGGAACCCTAAAGTCTTGAATTCCCGACAAGCTGAAGCTTCAGAAGTTCATGTCGCAGGACTTAGCCGCTGCGGGCGTGATGGATGGTGATGCCGGGGTCCCCATGACATGACCGGGCATCGAAAGGCACGGGCAAGAATGCTTTGCGGCTAGAATTTGTGTTGCGGGCTGGGTTCAGGGCCTTAAGTATAGGCTTTCGGGATTCTCGGTCAACCTGTCGGGGAAGGAACCTGAGGCGCTTCGATATACTCGGTGCGGCAGCCCCATTTATCACAGCATGCCGTTCCCCTTCTCACTGTTCGTTCAATTTCCCAATCAATTCCGGAAAGCTTGCCGAATTCCCTGTAGCTGTGCTCCGAAGATGGAACCGTGCGTAGGCCCCATATTGTTGGGATTTTTTAAAACTTGGGTTATGAGTGGGTGACACTCTTGCTTACGCCCTTATAGCACCAATATGGATCCAAGGAGTCCGAGCGTAGACCTGGTCTGAAGCAAACAGTATCCTCGGCTTGTAGACCGAAAGGCCTGTGCAAGAAGTTTTCCGTGAGGGAGGGCCTTCCTGTGCCTGTGCCTGTCTTTCCACAAGGATCTGGCTGCTGCCGGAGTCATGGCTGGTGCAGAGGCTCCTCCCATGAGGGGTCTGTATGAGGGATCGTCTTATGGATATTTTGCTGTTTGTGTTCCGGAGTCGTCAACCACAGCTTAGACCGTTGTGGCACAAGTGTCCGATTCTGCGATCAGGATCTCGCGGCTGCAGGTGTCATGGAAGAGGATGCCACTGCCCCGGCGGCGGTTTGAGCACGATGCGCATGTGCCTGCTGCGGGCTTGGGGTGTATTGCTGCCTTCTATGCCATGCCTCTTTCCCTGCAGATCATTACTGTGCGTGTTGCAACTGCCATGACACGGTCTCTGTGAATTGTCACCGATGCGGTTGCGTAGCTGCAAGAGGAGCCGTTGACGTATGTTGACGTTGCTCTTTGCGGCTGCCGCCGTGCAGATACGAAGTGTATCGAAGTGTCAGCGTTGGCAGTGCTACTCACGAGCAGTATGTGTAGTAGAGCATAGAAGTAGCCAAGACGTCGTCGCCGTGGCACTCGTGGCATGTCGTGGCAGGAACAGTAGAAGTATGTAGGAGTATGGTAGTCGATCAACAAATATCAACATCATCAGTAGCGGTTGACTCTCTGGTATGAAAGCTCTTCTTAAGCCAAGGATCTAGCTGCGGCCGGTGTGGTTATCGACGACGTGGCGGCCCAAGCAGATGTCGGAGTCGTTCCACATGAGGTTTACCCTCGTTTAAAAAGAGGAACGTGATGATTTGTTCCGACCCCTGGCTGCGAGTCCGTAGAGGTCTTGAAAATGGCCCTAGGCGGTGGGTTTTCTATGCAGAACTGTAGCTCAGCTTTGGTGGAGAAAGTGTTGCAGTTTGCGTTGCAGTTGATGCGCGAGTAGCCTGGGCTTTGTTCCCTGTGTCCCACTGTGAACCAACTTCATTCTGGCGTCATGGGTTCTAACCAGTCTGCCGCCGCACGTCGAGTATTGCATAATTACCTGGCACACTTGAAAACGAGAGGCCGTGCCTGAGGCGCGACAGGGGAGTGTCGTCGCTTGAGCTCTCAGCGGGGATCACTTTCAATCGGTGTACGACGAGTGAGTCCAGTGTCTCTCTTTGTCGCGTCACGAATATTTGCAGCACGCTTGCGCGAAGACGAGGCTTGCCACTTTGAGTTCTGAGCTTGTTCCCTCAGCCTCTAAACCTCAAGCTTTAAATCCAGGGTTGCGTCTAGGACTCCAGGAGGCAAAAAGACCCTGCCTGGTTTGTGGGCCCACGAACATGGTAATGCTGCCGAACATCCAATGAAATTCATGCTCGGTCCGAAGCCTCCCGAGCTTTTCAAAGCGACCTTCCACACTATATAGACTATAGGACATGTTACGACCTGGTAAGACAAAAAATCCTGGTAGCCTGGACGCAAAAGTGGTGTGTCTCTCTGTGTGTGTGTGTGTCTCGGACCGGAATACCCAGGTCCTAAAAATCTCTGTCGCTGAGGACCTGGCAGCTGCAGGCGTTTTGATAGATGGCGAGGTGGACCGGATACAGTATAGACATTGACTTGGTGGGCTTAGCAGCACCAGTGAGATATTCGATCGCAATTGTTGATTGAGCACAGCGGACAGACCGGAGATGGGAAATCTCGCCAAGATGATGTTCGGACAGGTTGTGACCACTGCGTCCTGTCACATGCTGTCGATCGGAAATCCGAAACATAAACTTCGTGAACTTGCGGAAAAACGTTGGCAGTCGGCCTTCAAGAGACGAGGTTTCGGGCTCAGGGAGGTCGGCTTCTGCAGTGCTGAAGTGCGCTAGGGCATGGCAGACCTCGGCGTCTATGACCCTGGGGAGGTTGGCATGCTTGCTTCTTCGGCGTAGACAGGTAGCTGAGCCTCACTCGGGCAAGTGCCGACATCACGCACACACAGTTTGACTGAAGTTTGCGAGCACTTGTCAAAAGGCGCTTGCGACCGCATTTTGGCATTCTCCGATCCATGAGTCTATGACGCACAAGTCCTAGCAAAACCTGGTGGTGTGTTGCCAGGAACATGGCAACTGGGACGAAGAGGAGGCCCTGTTGGCTTTCGGGGAGCATCATCGACTACGCGCATGCTTGTGTATGAGTTTGTGGAGTCGTAGTAAAGACATGTATTGAGTATTGAGTATTTTACAACTCAGTTCTACTTACTATACATGTGTATATGCCAGGATATGTAGATGAGCTTCAGGTACAGATGTGTTGTAAGTTTAGATGTACATGTAAGAGTATCTGCATATTCACTTGAAGGGACACAGGTATGAAGGTGTGTATATGAATAAAAAATAATTAAAGAAGTAAATAAATAAATAAATATATATATATATATACACACTGTATAACAGAGGTTTTCGTGCGGCCGTGCTGTTTGAGGTCTTGGATCTTGTGCTTTTTGTCACAACTGGTCAGCCCGGAACCGACGAGCCAAGGATGAAGCTTCTCAGGAGTGCCGTTACAATCTTAGCAGTTTGAGAAAGAGCTGCGTATGCAGACCGGCTGACCAAATGTCCTTTCTGTCAGCCGCCGCCATGCGAAACACTGCCAGCATCAAAGATTGCGACCACTCCAACCCCACACCCATCACGACACAAAAAAGAATGGTCAACCCCCCCAAGACCAGCACTGCCCTCACAACCCACGATCACAGAATAAATCAGCACGAGTGATCATCAACAACCATTTCCGGCATCATCAATCATTGCTGTATTAGAAATATGATGACAATGGTGATGATGAGCGCGATGATACAATGATGCTCTGATGCTCATCCAGTCAGCATCACTTCATCATTTTAATCAGCAACATTGCCGTCAAAAGGCGTCACCGTCATAATTCATGTGTTCCACGCTGGTCGCTCACCTACCCCTGAAGCCTATCATTTTGCAAAGCTTCGGCATCGTGGTTCATGTGCTTGTTGGCCATGCTGTTCTTACGCCAGGATAACATAGACATAAACCTCGAAGCCCTCAAACCCGTTTCATGGTTTTAGATCCTGAACACCCCTAGCAGCCCTCAAACAGCCGCAATAAAGGGGTAGCAATCATTGTACTGTACAGCAATTAATACTGTCCCTTGGATGCCCGAGGCTGGGGAAGTGCTCGTCGATGCAAATGGACATCCCGCCGATCTCCTGGAGTCCCTCGATGAGTGCTTTTGATCATCGCGCCGGCAAGTCAACAAGGGTTTAGGGATGCAGACGCAAGACGGTCCGAGGTTTTCGCAAGGCCGGGAGCAGTGTACGGTTTCGGTTTTCGGGCTTGTGCAGAATTAGTGAGGGTTTGGTCAGATTAAAGAGTGGGTATGAGTACATCGAGCAGACATACATTGCAGGTTGGGGATGCTTCAGGACGCTTCATGCTCTAGGCTGTTAAAGAGCTGAGCGTAGGACACTTACACTTTCTATCTCCTGAATGTGGTTTGGGCCTAGGGTCTTAATTGGTGTTGAGTCAGGGTTCTTCGGGAAGGGTGCAGACAAGTGGCCAGGGTGGGTACAAGGTGTAAAAACAGAAGCGACATGCACCGCGAACACCTGCAAGCATAGCCGATGAAGGCAGCATGCCTGGAGCCCTGCAAGTGGCTTTGCCTCTCGAGCATATTCCTACACCCTTCTTCTATGCCCGAAAGGGCCTAATGAGCTTGCAGCCTCAAACCCTCAACAGTAATCTTGGACGCATCTGCAAAAGAGATCAGAGACTAGACGCCTCGTCTTGGCCGCCATTGTGGGGTTTCTGCAGCTGTTGAGTCCTTCCTTGTTTGACCGTTACTGACCCCTCGTGGCCCTGTCCACGTGCTCCTCCTGCAGCTGGGGCCTGCATGAAGCTGTCCCATCAATCAGAAGCGGAACCCATGAGGGTCCCGGCCGGTGCCAATACGCCCGATGCCCTGATGTCCTCTGCTAAACCTGCCGGTGCTTCATGTGTTGGCCTCTAGTCCTGCATATCGGTGGCTTTTGCGGCGTTGCCTGCAGATGATTGGAATATGATCAGCAACAGCAAGACACGGCAGAAGCAGTAGTAGTAGTAGTAGTAGTAGTAGGAGCAGCAGCAGAATCGGGATCTTCTGTCTTCATCTCACTGCGCCCAAAAGCACTGAGCTCGGGGAGAAGATTCCTTGCTGATGATGCACCTGCGGCATTGCTTGCAGCGCATGGAGAAACGCATTTGTCGTATGTCTGCGATCTATCTATCTGCCTATCTATCTATCTATCTATCTATCTATCTAATTATCTATCTTCATATCTATATGTCAGCTAAATAAATAGATAAATGTTTACTTATTTATGTATCTAACAATCGAATTTATCTATATACATACATACATACATGCATGCATGCGTGCATACATACATACATACATACATACATACATACATACACACACACATAGATTTCCGAGTCCGAAAACTTCCACGTTTAAGCGGCTCTAGAAACCTCCATGCGTTTTGAGCAATATGGCAGCAACCGCAAGCTGAGCATCCCTGCGATGTTCCCTCATGAATCTTCTCGCACGGTTACAGGCAAGAACGTGATAGGAGCTCCAAGAAGCCTTCATGAGGGTCTCTTGCAGGAAGTTCAAAGAACCTTCCTTGGAGTGCAGCTTGCAAGTCCGAGCGCAGCCCTGGACGATGCTCGTTCTTCGCACCAGAGAGATCTGGAAAGAACGCGTTCATTATGGGCTGTTGGGCTGATAGGCACAAACACATGTGTGGGGCCTTGAAAGGTTGCCAGATGTTTGCATGGAAACGCTTCGCGGACGACTCGACGCAAGTCGTTTGTAGAGCTATGTCTGAACGAAAGTCGCCTTTCTACATAGCTCTACTTTAGCAGTATCCTCAACAATAAACCCTAAATCTGTTATCATATCTTTAGTTTGATGCAAGATATATGTGTACATATATATATATGTATATATATATATTTATGTATGTGTATATATATATATATGTGTCTGTGTGTGTGCATGTGTGTGTGTGTCGTAGGAAGCGATACAGGGCCACCAGAGGTTGCCAGGACGGACTGGTTGGAAGGCACGAAAGTGATGCAGCAAAGTGTGATTCCTGAAACACCCTCATTACCACGGAAGTTCAGGCGTTAGAGGTATTTAGGTTTGGTTGCATGTGGTTAACAGTATTCAATATTCGTTTTTCTGAGTGAATGTTCACGTCTTCGTTCACGCCCAGCTTCCCAACATGCCCACTCCTGCGCCACAGCGGAAACCGCTCATGGTGTTCCAGAGATCGCGATACTTGCAGATGGTCGGTGGCACCTAGAACAGGCGTTTGGAGCCATCTTGATTCTTGACCTGACTGTGCACATGGTGTGCTAAGCCGAGCTCGGAATCGAGGCTAACGTTGTCTTCAGTAGGCGGATCTCGACTTTGCCTCACGCTGCCTCCGTGCTTTGAGGTAGACTCAGCGCCTAAGATGTAGCGCCTACGGAGAAACGTCAAGGCTGCGTCCGCTTACTAGTCCTTTGTCTACAGAGAGGTTGTTAGTAACGGCTGGTTTCGCCAAGCGACCGTTCGAGAAATCTGCCCGTTCTGCCGCAGCCAAAAGGTGAAGAATGGGAGAAGTCGCGTTATTGATGACGATGGTCTAGTTGCGCATACACATTGTCCCCGATTTGATACTATGGAGCACTGAAAATGAAGCAACACAATTGGCTGGAGACTGTGTAGCCCCACTTTTGGCTCCGAGCATGGTGGTGGTGGTGGTGGTGGTGGTGCCTGGTGGCGGTGGTAGTCGGCGTAGCAGTAGCGGTAGCAGTAGGAGCGGTAGTCGTCGAGGTCGCGGTCATCGCGGTGGTTGTAAGGGTAGTGGTGGTCGTAGTCGTAATCGTCGTTGGTGTCGCAGCGATCGTAGCACATAGGTAGTAGTTGTCGTCGTCGTTGTAGCAGTAGTACAAGAAGAAGCAGGAAGAAGAAGCGGTAATAGCAATAGTATGCTTATCGATGATGGCGACAGCAACGAACTTACGACGAAAGGCAGAAGCCCAACTCAGAAACAAAACGAAATCGTCCATGGCCCTTTGTGCCCTGCCATGGAAGCGTCCCTTGGCGCTTGTCGCCCGGCACCTTAGCAGGCTCTACACAGACCTGAAACGAGCCGCTCTCATCATTCTTCCGGTTGAAGTCATGCTAATAGGGGACAAATCTCTTAGTAGCTGAATGACTACACTTTATACGTTTTGGGGATAGTATGATCCCTTATAGAACAGAAAGTGTACAATTTTTTGTGCTTATGAACTCAGCAACTAAGATCTTTCCATCTATCTATCGAAGACATGTCTAGGGGCTCCTATGGTCCAAAGCAGCGATTTGAGCTCCTCACAGGCCTACGGCCTTCTTCGGAGCTCCACGGGCCGCGTCCGTGGTGACTTCGCAGGCCCACAGCACGTGTCGTCGCTTGTGAAGCTTTGGGTTTCCGGGCGCCTGCATCCCACCTCAAAGTAATATGGGGGCCTGAATAATTAGAATAGGGTTTCGGGGGTAGTATATTATATACTATTGGTAACTTTATAGAATTTAGACCCCTATCATTAGCTCCTAGCCAAGATGCTCAGGGATTGACCTTCCAACCCAGGCTTGTGTTTGACGAGAGTCTGGACCCCAAGCCGGAAGCCTAAGGCTCCCACGGTTGATGATCTCAACCTTTTTTTGTTGAAGTCCATGAATACTGACGAAACCAGACAAGCCCAAATCCATTTCCGCCACAACGTGCAGGAATCTGGCTCTGTGCAGCCGCCAGGCATGAGAAGCAGACAGCACTTGGGACTTGGAGTTGCTGTGGACGAACGGCCATTTTGATGTTGGCATTCCGGGTGAACCTTAATCCCGAAACCCAAACCTTGAGACCTTCCCTGTCAATTTTGGGTTTGCCTGCTCGGAGGTTGGAGAGTAAGCTTGAGCGTGTGGGGCACATAGCAGCATCAAGCGGAAGCTGCAGTTTTGGAAGCAACCCTAAAGCGATACGGACCTGTATCTGTACAACTGATCCAAAACGAACTGAAAAAGCGGGATGCCGTCCAAAAGAAAAGTGGCAGGATAGTTCCCAAGGTTCATCTACTCAAACGGGTATTTCTCAACCTGATGACGTTTTGAGGAACAAGTCCGCTTATTCGTAGTACAGGGAACTATCCGAGAGGTAGAAATTTCCAAGTTCCTAGGACATATATTGTCAGAGCAGACATTCTCGATTCGGCTCTTGCAAGTGATCCCGGAATTTTGCGACCACATCCCCAAGAATAAACTTCTACAGATGGGTGAGTTTGTGGGCTGCTAGAAGCAGAGGATGCTCTTGCAGCATGTGGAAGGAGATCAGCACGAGCTCCAACAGATCAAAGTTCCGTCTGCTGACCATGCATCGCACAAACAACATTAGGCCATTAGGGCCCATGGTCACCAAGCCAAAGCAAGCCAGCACAACAATCCCTCAACAACTAACAAACACAATTACGCTGGGCAACGTGTCCATACAGCCCACAGGCCAAAGTAGATAAGAAAGTTCAGTCTTCCGCAGGTTGACTATTTGTCCCCCGTGCCGCGCTCTTTTCTTCGGTTTCGCGATGGGTACAAGAGACGTAGTGTGGCTGTAACAGCATCTATGCACCCTGGACAGACTTTCAGAACGGTCTGGGGCTGGACTGGTCGTTGCCCGGATAGTCCCCAAGAGACCCAGGCCCTCGAGGCCCTAGAACCCCCCGAGCTGCAGGCACAGGCGAGTTGCGTGTACATACTGTTCGGGTCCAAGCGCCGGCTGTGTTTCCGCCGGGGAGGCTGTGGACATTTGAGATCTGAAACGCTCCTCCCTAGGAAAGGTTCCTGGTTTTCCGGTATAGATGTCTAACATATCGGGATCACGGTGTGTCGGGTTTATATGGCATAGGCGATTTGGAAATTAGCAGCCTTCAAGTTGGGAGCTCGCGAGTTCCCAAGATGCCACAAAACAGCCCCAGAGCCTTGATAGCGGAACCCTGGATCTATCTAGACCCCGTGCAAAAGCAGCCCGCGAATCCCTCCGTCGCCAAGGCAGACTTCCTCGCTCATGTTCAGGAGGAGCATCTGCGGAGTTCGGGTTCATCGCTCCGTCAGGAACATCTCAGAGTCTTAGCAGTTTAACATGACACCATTGCTGTGTTAGGTGGTCTTCTTCTTGGATCTGTGCAGGTTCCTACTATTATATGCTCCTATGAGGCTTGGTTCTCGACAAACTTCTCCTGTACTTGCCTTCTTCGCAGGTCCTGGCAGGCTTGCAACACTGGGCCGCCTGGATCGGACCCAAAACGAGAGTAGCTGTGTGCCTGGCAGCCAGGACCCCGCCGAATGCACCGCCTTCCGGTACTCTTCTCCGGCCGCCCTCTGAGAAGCAATGTAGACCCTTCATTATATGTAATAATAACACCCTCACATCAATGATCGTGAATCTTCTCATAACTTGGGGATCTTAAGGTAACAAACGGTCTTTATAAAGAGTGTCCGTTTCTGAATCAGATTAGGACCCATGCCTTGATGTCAAGACAAGCTCCAGGGTTTCTTGAGATACTAGGTGATCTTGGGGTTCTAGGGAAGTACTTACTCAGACATTCATAGCTGATTTTGGATCCCCGAACAGAACAACAGTCCCAGATTTGCTTTCTGCACATCGCCCCAGCAAGGATGTGGTTGCTTCGGCAGCAAGGGCTCTGGTCAAGGCCATCCACCATTTGCCATTGGGTTGCTTGCACGCCAGGAAGAGAACCGCTTTTCGCCTCCCAACTCCTCGACCCCACTTCCTGCGACAGGGGCCTTACAGCGAGGAGGACAAGCGTCGCCGTGCCCTTCATGTGCTGACTCCCTAGAGATCGGCAGTCTTTTGCAAACAGATGTTGGAGACACTGCGATGAGCTGTTCCTGCTCGTTTTTACTGCTGCACTTGCGCTGATTCGAACAGTTTCGATATAACAACTCAAGGCTCGGGTGCAAAGCTACGGGTTGGCCAGGGCTTGCATCAAGGGCCTCGCCAAGGTTAAGCCAAGGACACCTGCGGGCGAGGATCCCAAATCCCAAACCTGCATCGTGGATGCCGCTGTTTCACCGAATCACTTAGGTTGCGTGGCGCTACGATGTCGTCGAGCACCCAGTGTGGACTGCTTGAGAGGGCCCGAGCCGTCTAAGGTTTCCGGCTCTGAAGAATCTTGAGCTCTTGGGCTGAAGAGTGCCACGACGCACATGGGCGAACATGAACTGATTGGCACCGGGCAGCGATAGCCCGAAGCAAAGGCACTCAGAACGTCGTGGAAAGCACGTCTCGTTCAACGGGGTGCAACGGCAGTTCTTGTGTGGTACAGCGCACTGGTTGCATGGAGAACCGTTTGAGTTTGTATCTTTCGGCCCGTCTTGTGCTTATGGATGACTGAACCTATAAAAATTTGAAGTTCTTCACCCGATCAAACGAGCCACCAACTAGAGATTCCATGACCGATAAGAGCCTTGTGAAGCGCCGGTGCAGATGTTTGCCATCAGGCCCTGCGAAACCACACGGAATATTGCTAAAGAGGCAGCCTCGTGCTCAGAGCGCTGTGTCAAAGTGACTGCTTGGGGGTTCGAGCTGATGTGGGCAGTTTGTCAGTTTGATACCGGTGGTTGTTGATATTTTCGAGTCTCCGGTAGGATGTTGCATGTATGCTGAACCAGTCGCCGGGCAATTTGGTCAAGTCCCGTGACATAGCCCAGAGCCACCCTAGTACCCCAAAGCCCGAGCCCCAAAGAGGTGGACCAGCTCCGGCATGGTGACAGCAGCAGCTTGACTAAGTAGGTGCTGGCGATGTGAAGGTTTGGGGTTGTCAGTTCGAGAGTATGTTGGACTTTCTATGTGTCGCCTTCTTTGTGCGCACAAGCATTCAACACCGGTGATGCTCTCTATTCATTTCATTCATGTGTTGGTCTAAGCATATCTGGTTGGCCTTTCCTGGCGAAGACCAGCCAGTCCGACACCGGATGTTGATTGACCTGAAATTATATAAAAAAAACATCCCGCCGCAGCCTTCCATAAAGATGCCAGCACAGGTGTGGACCTGTTGATGGCCAACCTCGCGACGGGCGCTTTCGCCACCTGCTGGCATGTAGTGCCCAGAATGTCACGACATAATATCTTCGTATTGGACTGTGTTCCAGCCGCGAAGACGCTGGAAACCAGAGCTCTCGGTAGCGAGAATACAGTTGCCTCCATGTTAGACTTTATACAGGTGTCAACATTGTGGTCACTCTGTCGCGTGGTATCTTATGCGGAGGCGTTCGTGCTGTTTCTATGAAGCGAGTTATGTCGCAGCGCCGAGAGAGCGTAGGTATGTCCTAACCGTCCTAAACCCCCTACCCATCATCACCCATGGCACGTTTGACCTCTGTGATTCTCACCATTATCCGTGCCACCCGAGAATGCAAGCCTACTGAGCTATTCACAAAGAGCCCAGCCCACAAGCAAAGCAACTTTCTACACCCCAAAGCTTTGAGGCCCTGCGGTTCTAATCTCAACCCTTAACGCTTCGGCGTATCAGATGCCGCGGTTTCAACCCTGCCAAAGAGCATGGCCCAGGGAGCGCATCTGAAGTTCGAGGACCTTGTGGAGTGCATGATCACCGAGTGGTGCTTCGGCATCCACTTTGGATCAGCCCAGTTAGGATTCCGGCCTCCAACGCGCCGGTGTATTTTAAGCTTGATCGGTTCATATCCTGAGGCTTGGTGTTTGTTTGAGGTTGATGTGTTGCAGGGCAGGAATGTGTGTCCATGTGATGTGAAAGCCTCGAAGCCTAAGAACCGAACCTGCCAAGTCGTTATTACAGCCTTATTACCTCAGGGTCGAATTATGTAGATGCGTCCTGCCCTAGAAAACGAAGCATACGAACCCTAAATCCGGAGCTTCGAGCTACTCTGGGAAAGCAGCTCATCTTTAGTCGTCAGAAGGTCTGAAGATGTTTTGCAATGTTCGGGCTGGTATTTGGGGCTCAGCCGTGTCTTTTGTAGGGTCCTGGCGGTTTCGGAATGTTCTGGGTCCCTGGGGACTTCTCTCAGTTGTGGCTCTCCGAGGCCCTGGCCGATAGAGCCGCTGATGTCGGTTTTCGAAGGAGCTCATGGAAGGCGCGTTTATAAGGTTTGAGAGGCTGTGCCTGCATGTGTTCGGCTTGCTTGTTGCTAGTATTTCGAGGTTGATTGTGTTGAGGAGTTCTCAGATCTTTCCTCCGCATTGTCTGTGCCCATCCTGACACTCCCCATGAAATGTGCCAGTGGTCAGAAACCTGCCGCGCTTGATGCGATGCAGGGTGATGCTGGGCAGGATCAAGCCCCTGGATGTGCTGTGGGTGCCGGTCCCTAGCTGTCCTTGCCCTCTGCCTTGTCTGACCCACGAATTCCCGAGTGACTTTCCTCCGGAACCCTTCGCGGATACATTTTCCAACATTCTTTCACACTTCGCTAGCCTGTGAAACCGATTAAGAGCCAGTCACGGCCTGGAATCCGAACGAAGCAACAATTAGCACGAACGTGGACATGGGGTTGCGGTTGAAGCTGCATTTTGCGGTGGATTGGAATCGTCACAACGTTTTTGAGGGTTGAGGCATGCCTGTGCGGACCACAATGCATGTTGCCTGGTGTATAGCAGGCCAGCTTTAGATCTTTTGAGCGGCTGACAGGACCGCCCTGAGAACGCGAGGGAGAGAGAGAGAGAGAGAGAGGAACTGAGACTCAGAGAGCGAGCGGCTTCGGACAGCCGGCCTTAAAGCCTGCTGTTTGGCTCCAGCTTTAGCAGCAATCACAGAGCAAGTCGTGCGACCATGCGCAGAGACGCGTGATGCTTAATCACCACGCCTGGGAGGTGTCAGCTCTGGCCTTTTGTTATCCTCAGCTCGGCGTGAGCTTAAGAAGTGTTGTTGGATGTTGAGGCTCTATGCAATCACCCTCTGGCTTCTGGCCAACACCTGCACAGTGACTACTCGCCCTCAGCCTTCAACAGAAGCACATGCTGAGCAGACACATCTGAGCAGGAACAACGCTACAGCCGCAACATGCACTGAAGCGAATTCAGTCAAAGCTTTGCGCTCCCTGCCTGCCATGGGTGGCGCCCTCAGGTGGGAGGGTAACATTACGCCAGCCTGACCGCATGGATGTGCAAGATTACTCTTCCGCTTTGCCGGGGATGAACCCAGCGTCCCCTCAGACTCTTCCGAGTCTGTAATACCATCCCACGATCGCGACATAGACTTAGGAAGCAGGGGGTGTTGAGCCTTGAACGATTGTTGCACGTAAGAAATCCTGCGTGCTTGAGTTGGGTTCACGAGCGGCGCTCTACAGCACAAGCCTCGCCTCTGTCACCCGAGATTCTGCAATTCTTAACACAAAAAGGAGGGTACAGTACTTGTCTCTACAGCGTGGTTTCTTCCAATCCAAGGGTCTGCAGTCTTAGTTTTAGCCTCAATTAAGTGGCGGCTTCCTTACAGAAGAAGACCTTTGATGCATCTCTGAGGGCAAGCATGCCAGCGCCGGTCTCGCACAGAGCCGCAGCCGAAGTCGAAGCCGCCGACGCCGGCACAGGTCTGCCAGGGCTAGAGTGGCTAGAGCTGTTAAGGGTTATGCATTTAAGGCCCTGTGTAGGTGCACTTCGCCAAGCACTGAACTCATTTGTGATGATGAATCAGTCATTCTCTTCGGTCTTGTTCATGGTGCTGATGTTGGAGTTTGGTTGTTGTTCTGCAGTTAGTCTTAACGGCGGCATCATGGATGTTGTAGTTCTGTCTGAATCACGAACTGGTGATGTGTTGCGCCGAGAAAGTGTTTTCAGTCTGGCGGGTCCAGGCTTTGTTGCACTAGCTTCGGTGGAATGTTTGCCACGTTTTGCTTGTTGCTGATTCTGGATGATTGGTAGTGACCGTGCGAGTTGACACGTAACACTCGCTTCAGCTTTGTCCGTAGATGTATACATGAGGGACAGGGTCTCTTGAATAATATAGGCATATGATGGTTTCATATGGCTGTTCATTTGGAAATGTACATGTCACTACATGTAGTCTGTAGATGGCTGCCTTTGCGAGGGTGGCATCGAATTTCGAAATCATAGGGACTTGGATGGCATGCAAAACAGCCCGTAGGTGTGCAGTAGACCTTTGTGATCATGTAAGCTTGTATGTTGCAGACTTCATTCAGTATGCATGGAGGGTACGCCGCTTTGCTGGCGATGAGCATCGGCGTGTTTGTAATTCGGAAAGACATACGCAAGTGTACTGTGAAGACGCGCTGTTGTGATTCTGGCGATCACGTTATGCTGCAGGGAAAGGCACCAAGAGCATCCATGACTTAGATGTGACTTCCGAAGGCTGCCCCGGAGCTGGTGGTAAAGCAGCATGACCCAAAGAGGTACAACAACGACTACTCGCGGCTTTCCGACCTTGACAGTTAGCATGTCTTGTATTTCCAAGGTGACTGGGGGGTACTTTTTGTGGGGCCTGTGAAGGATTCTGCTCTGTAGTGACTGTAGTGTCGAGTTTAATTAAGCATCCATACATTCGGAAGCTGCCGGTTCCTTTTCAAGGGCATGTTGCCAAGGCGAAAACAGCACGGCATGCGGGATCAGGGTCTAGGTTTCTCCTTTCCGTGCGAGACTTGGCTTGTGGTGGGTTGGTACTACAGGTGCCATAGCTAGCGCAACAGTTTCCTAGCAGCAGCCAAGTTGGGAAAAAGGGGCCGACCGGTCCACTGGAAAAAATGAAGTGATGCTGATGCTGGTGGTCAGCAGGAATCTGATCTGAAAGATCATTCTCATCACTCATCATCGCTTCAGACTCAACATCTTTCGTTACCAGCATCGCTGCTAGCATCACAGGCAGCGTCGAAATCACTGTCTTCATCTAAAACGGCAATGTTACGCTTGGTGTGCACATAGACTCCTTGTGGGCATTTGCCCCGGTGGTAGTGTTCGTTCTTTGCCACACCCTTTTTGATCTCGAAAACACATTCAAGGCAACACTGGAACATGGAGCGCTTCATGACCCAATGTGTGACCTAGGTTTGTGAATATCGAAGACTCCGACGAGGACCCATGCCGGCGATTCCCTATGTGGGTGGATGGGTGGGTTGGCAGGCGGGAGGGCGGGGGTGGGCGGCTTGAGCTTCAGGTGAAAATTCATGGATGTGTTCACGATGTTGAGGTCGGATACACGAAATTCTATATCTACATGTCTATGCAATCTGCGCATATGCATATCTTATACATAACAAGCACACATAATTGCATGCACACTACGTATATGCATATCTATCTATCTATCTACCTATCTATACATATAGATTTATGGTTACAGATGCCAGTGTTCAGTCTTCCCAGCTGAACAGGATCGCAGCCTGGCATCGGAGAGTGGCTTATAGGTGGTGCCCTGATATCTACGATCCCTGACAGCTGTATGGCCATATGCTCGAATGTACTGTCACATGGTGACATGCTAACCAGTTTTCCTGCATGTTCTTGCCATAAGTTTCAAGCCAAGCTGAGCGGCAGCTGCTGCAGGAGGAAGAGCCACAGCCCACAGGCGACAACACGGCTGAGGCAGGTGAGAAGCTGGTGCTGCGGTTCTGCGCGGCTCTGCCTGAGGGATCTGACAGTAAGAAATCCTCACTTCGAAGCTTGACACACTCGGATGAAGTTATCGTGGTCGTGGTCGCAGTCGTCAAAGTTCCAACATCAAAATCACAGTCGCAGCGCGGGTAACGTCAGGTGAGTGTGTTTCATGTCTGTTCCACCGTAGGTTGAATCTGAACCGTTCATTCTGAAGCTTTGCAGAGCACTTCCGAAGGGCCCCACCTGCAGTGAGATGAAGACTCCAACATCCTCAGCCCTTCTCGATCCCGCATACGAATTCCTTGAGCCAGGAGCTGGCGCCGCCAGAGCCGCCGGAGATGGGGAAGATGAACCCGACGCAGGACCTCCCGGCCGTGTGAAAGGCTTCTTGGTCGGACATGCGTGGGAAGAGGTTTATGGATTCGAGCGCGACATGGGCGACATGGGATGGTTGGACGGGTACGTGCCCCTCCGACGAAGCTAAGCTCTCTAATCCCCACAGTCAGCCCCAGGGTGACCCGTGCATCCTAGAGCGATCATGCCCGTCATCTCACGCATGCTCGCGAACGCTGAACCTGTTCAGGGACTCGCCAGACGTGATAGCTGTGACATTTCCCGTTCCCAACTAGACTACACGCGACTCGCAGCTTGACGACGCCTACAGCGTTCACATGCCGGGCATAGTACTCCTGCCTCGTTAAAGTCCTGCGTCCCGTGCCCTTCCTTGCATGTAGGCTGCAGGTTGATACTTGTAGATTTCAGTGATTTCAGCAACCCGGTAACCCTCCAAAGTCTAAGCTCTGAGAGGACCAGCGACGGCGCATCAAAGTGACCCGGATTAAAATCAGCAATTGCAGACTGCTTTGCTGGCAGGGAACGAGAGCATCTGTTTCAGCTGCTTGCAGGCTTAACCCAAACAGTACTCGGAATTAGTGCTTTCTACCCGCAGTAGTAACCAGCTCTTGACAGATGAGCTCGTTCCACTGCCCACAGCAACTGAGGACGATATCATGGAGCTTTGCCGCAAGAGAGCCACAGAGGCATGGCGCCAGAAAGCATGGGTGCAGGCGTATGTCAGCAAAGTCATATGCATTTCCAAAAAAATCCGGGCTGCCGGTTCAGTGGTCATCAGTTTGGTCCCTTGTTTTGGTACTCGTAGTTTCCTGGACACAATCCAGTCATCGCTTCGAAGCCCCGCTAGCGAGCCTTGCAAGCAAGTCATCGGGATTGGTTCGCACACTCCAAAACGACACACGCCGGGCATTCACCGGAATAGCAGCGCCAGGAATTTCCGTGGTCAAAGCAGAACATCGAGACAATAAGGTGGCATGGTTGTCATGCCATAGCTCTAAGCCCCGTGTCCTGTGCTTTAAATCTAAGTCCGAAGCTCCACATGTTTGTGAGCCTCGAAACTCCTGGCAGCCCGTTCCATGCGATGAACACGAATCCGTATCCTAAGCCGATACTCTAAGCTTCACCAACGCATCCTGCCTTCGAGCCGAACAGCCTGGCCTGCGCCTATAAACCCTAAACCCCAAACCCTCTCAGCCTTGTCTTCTGTGAGAGCACCCGCTTTGTTGGTTGGCAGAGTGGGGCAACGGCCAAGAGAAGAGCAGCAGCTGAAGTTTGATTGAACTCCTCAAGCTTCGACAGTTGACCCAGAGACAAAAAGATTACAGTGTTTCGAAGACCTCGTTTAGAGCTCATGAGGGTCAGAATCCATGATTTCTCCTAGATATGCGATTGTTCTGATGTTTGTCCGCCCCTGCAGAACATGAAGCAAGTACCGGAACCGCTGGTGGGAGCCGAGCCGCCGAACGCAACTGCCCCCCGAGGCATTCAGAGATTCTTGTGAATTTGCTTGTGAATCACAGCCGATGATCTTCCTGGGTGTAGTGTTTCGGGATCGTGTCCCAAGTATCCGAGTTTCAGATCTCTGCGCCGAAAGTCAAAGCAGGCGGGTGTTTGGCTTCCTTGATTTTGTCCAGCAGGCTCCAGGGGCTCGGCGAGTCCCTTCGTGAATTCTCCAGAAGCCCACCATTTGGCTTCATACAAGAGATGCCTGTACGACACAGATCCAGGGGGCGCTGTGCTAATCCAGTTAGATGCATGACGGCATCACGGATGCCAAGGCTTGCAAGCTTCCACCGGACCACAAGCAGCTGCTTGGCTTTGAAGGGTTTGGAAAAATGCAGGCTTGACGTATCGAGTGCCTGGGAGGGAGAGAGAGAGAGAGAGAGAGAGAGAGAGAGAGAAAAAAAAACAAATTGAACCTTCCATCCCTGTCCGGCGCCGCTCGAACTCGCAGGGCAAGGATTTGTTCGCGCGTGTCCATGCTGGCTCGGCGACAGCTTATGGCTCCTAGAACCCGACCGTCCAACCCAGCTTATGAAACATACTGCACATACCGTGCTTTTCTGAAGTCACTGTGGATGGAAGATCACACGCAGACACATCTACAAGAACCAACTATGGCAATAAAAATCGAGACCGCTTTGATGCAGCATTGTGGTCCCGCTCTTTACTGCATTCAGCAGAACCGTCGCCAATATTCCTCTGTGTTATCACAGGAATCTACACAGTACAACTTTAACGAACATTGCTGCCCCATGCGGTCATCTTGGACTCGCCCGCTGATCCGAGGCCGGTGGGAACACTCACACTGGAGCAGCTTGCAAAGTACTCTTGCAGCAATGAACCTCGGCCGCGAGTGGGCCGCGAGAGAGAGAGAGAGAGAGTTAGAGCTCCCCAGGCCCTGGCGAAGAAGCAGAAGAGAGAGTTAGAGATGCGGGGACATGTACAGGGACAGAAGCGCAACACACATTAGCATAATACGTTTGCCTCTTCCTTGCCATCACAGTACCTCGAGCTCACGAGTCATGTGTTGGAAGGAGGGCTACCTCGCAGAATGATTTGCAGAGTGACCAAGTGTTGATGTGTACTTAGGAACAGTATTCGTTGGGGTGACCCGGAAGTTTTCGCTCAAGTCATTCCGACGAGTTGTCAGCAGCGAATATTGACTAGTCGCTATGACAGCCACGCAACTTGCTCGGGTGCTAAGGGAGAACTTCAAGAACAGGGGGTTCAAATTCTGTGCAACTCCCTGTGCTCGCCTTCTCAGGACCGAATGCTTTTGTCCTGCCATGGAGACATCTTCGATGTGTTGCGAGCTTACAGTGTACAAGTGCAAATACATCAAGGACCGGCCCCTTGCAAGGCCCTGCTTTGGGTAGAGATGGAAGACGAGGGAGCGTTGCCCGCAGTGTTTCGGTGCATTCGCGAGTGGCATGCGTGAGAAAGCCAGCTATGGACCCCCTTGCTTAGGTCCAGTCGGCCTGACATCTACGGATACGGCCCAAAGTCTTGGCAAGCGGGTGGCCAGCTCAACGCGCTTTCATGTCCAGGCTGTGTAGATGCAATGTACATCTAGTATTTTGGCGTTATGCTTCCAGACTTGTTCAGCTGAGTCTTTTCCTATGTTCGTACGGGTTTGCCAATGTTTGCTGCAACCAGTGCCGAGGCAAAGACATCACCTGGTCTGTGGTCACTGGAAAGGACTGGCGACGATGTAGGCTTCTATGCAAGTCCTGTCCACCGCTGACAAGCACGACTTGACCAGGTTGGGCTTACAATTTAGAGTCTGGCCTGGCATACTTCTTTGAAAGGCATATAGTCACTTGATCGGTTCCTGGGTACCCACTCCAGGCCTTTAAGCATTTAAGCTTGCTTGTCGTTTCTGCAGTGAGGGCCTGTGTACAACCTAAACATGACATGTCAGACCATCGCCATCCTTGGAAAGATACGGATAAGCTAGGCGCAGATTCGACTAGGAAACAGGGTAACGTGACTTGGCAGTAGCAAGAGCTAGAAGCAGTCTCAGCAGAGGTTAAGCTAGCAGTCGGTGTGTACCCTCACCGGCTGTGTGGCTTGGGAGCTCTCTGGCTTCGTTCGTTTTTCTGTTTGGATGCATGCTTGAGTCAGTTTTGCTTGTGTAGCTCAAGTTCGAGAGTCCCTTCACTGTGTCGTGTGTGCCGTGCGAGGAGCAGCCGAACCAGTGCAACCGCCCCTCGTCTTTTCGAATTGGCTGAAACCTTTTCCCTGGAAGGGCGAGCTTAAGGGCTTTATGCCAGACGCCTGCATGGTTCTTCTTGACATGATGATGATGAGGATGATGTGAGGCATAGTCAGTGTCGTGTAACCGTGAGAAAATAGACGAGGTGTCCATCGCAGTCGGTACAGTAAGCACGGATGTTCACTAAAGATTTTGTGCATGCAGCCCGGCGGAACCAATCTGTTTTTGGCTTCTCCTCCTGACCGTCACTGCTTGTGATCAGTGGAGGCTTCTATGACGTCTTTAAGTTGGACTCAGACCATTGTGGTCGATACCTGCAGATGATTTGTTCCCGGCTTCTGTCCTTGCAGGCTGGATCGGCAAGGTTTCCTCGGGTGCGGGCCCAGTGTAGTCAACCCGAAAGCCTGACACTCTGACACTATCTCTCTGAGCTCACATGTTCGAGCGCGAACATGTGCAAGCCTGCTTGCGCGGGAGTCTGTTACGAGACAAAGAGACAGAGAGCGGCAAACAAGCCACAACTTCGAGAATCTGATTCGGTAAGACACATCAGATCATAATTATAATACTTTTCGGCATCATGTCCTCACATGCTCTCACTGACCATCAGGAGAACGTCTTATTATTATTTATCGTCGTCACAAATTTCGATCAGCATGGCGATCCTCACCTTTGTCACCGCCCCTGGTCGACATTGCCATCTTCAACACACCGTCTTTGTCAACATCACCTTGATTCTGTGATTCTTCGAGCTATCGCCCGCAGTTTTTGCCTGAAGCTGGAATCGGTTTAGCCTTGCCCTAAAAGTGGCTTTGAAACTCGGGTTGTTCCGACTTACAGTTTACTCAGACCCAGTACCCCTCGTGCAGCTGGGCCCAGGGTGAGGGCCAGGCTTGCACCGCAGACACCGAAGTACGATGCATGAGGTCATTGCAGGCATGGATCGGACTGCCCTGCAAGCGAGCCTCTTTCTCCAGCCCTACGTGGAAAGCATCAACCCTGCATCATTTGCCGGACTGCAGGACGACTTCGGCGAACCCGTCGGGCGATTGGATCAGCTGCTCAGCCGCAAGAAGAGGACCACACTGACGACCCCTTTTGAGCTCCGAAGATGAAGCGCCCTTTTCCCTGCCTGGCTCTCTCCTTTAGGTTTCTCAGTTTTGGCTTGCTCCCGACATTCTTGTTGGCCTTGGGTTTGTACTGCCGAAAATGCAGCTGTCGAATGCTGTCGATGTACAAGGTCCTGACCTTGACTTTGAATGGACTGCCGTTTGTGTTCGTCTTTTTTGTGGAACCTGGTGTGTCTGAGTAGAGGATGGCTGTCATTACAGCTCCTCAGAACCCCAGAGCGTGGTCATCACGGACATCGTCGCAGCTCCAATATCCGGTCCATCTTCACTCTCCTCTCGACAGGCATTGACGTGGAAGCCCAGGGCCTGTCATGGACACTAAACTAAACTTGAATTGAGCGGTAGTCTGAGCGATTTGATGCAAGATGCAGTTAAAACTCCGGGCGACAGCCGTGTGAAGATGGCACGAGTTTTGCTGATCGCAGGGGAAGCACAAAGCACAGAACCATCGAACCAAGGTTCGTGAATGAGCGGCTGCTGCCGGCCGCCCCGACGAACGAAGTGGAGGACTGCAAGCAACAGCACTTTGTCAGAAGTGGCTTCTCCGAGTGGAGACTGCTGAGTTCTTCTGGGACCTGAGTTCAACCGCGCAGCGCTGCTGCTGCTTACGACAAGCTCTGTGTTCTGCATCTGAGGTGAATATTCTGCGGCAGAAGGCAGCAGAGAATCTGGCAAAACGGAGTGATGCCTGTAGTGCTCAGGGAAGTTGAAAGGCTCGGTGGAGACAGCTTATTGGTTAGCTTACCCCAGCTCTTCCTCGAAGAAGGCATTGTGGCGCTTCTCAAGAATCCCCAAAGCGAGCCCGCATCCATTAGGGAGGCACTTTTGAGGCGCCGACAAGGTCCAACTACAGACCACTCGATTCGCAGTGCCCCTTTGATCAGATGCTTCGCTTAAGCCTCCGCGTGCCGCTCTACAGTCTCTACTATCTACCCATAGGCCCCTAAGTAGTTCCTTTTTCGGATTGGGTAGTACAGCTGAATGTACTCAAACCTTGGTGAGCTAAGTCAGGGACTTTGGCGGTTCCTTTTGCTGCTGTCTGAGGTGCCTGAGGAGCGGCCTCGCGACCTTCCTCACGCAGTGCAGTGCCGAGGGGATCCGAGGGTGCAGGGTTAGAGATTTAAGAGTTTAAGGGTCAGGGTTCCGGGTTCCCTTTCATCTTTGGCGCCTTTTTTGCAAGCCATGCATCTAAAGTTCCGGCCCGCAAGTTGCAATTGCAGTCCACGGAGTTTGGAACCAAAGCGACAGAGGGTTCATTACTGACCATTACACAACTGTGCTTATGAGATGGCACCTGCAATTGCTAGAATGACGGCCAACACAACCAGCCGGCCTCGAAGAGTGCGGTACACACCGGCAGTATTCATGGAACCTCTCTTCCTTTGGCTTTCGCAGATCGCAGCCATAAGGCCTGATAACCTCAAATCGAGCCCGCCGCAGCCGTGGCTCAGAAGACGGTTGAGACACAGTGCCACGAGTGGTGATGACATGAAGCCAGTAGTTGCCAAGAGGTAGATCCCATGTGAAGGTGCTGAGCTTGTCTGTGTTTCCTTGGAAAGTGTGCCCAGACATATGGGCCAGGCCTCATACTAATTACTGATGTGCTGTTATCGACAAGCTACTAGTGGTGTTGTGCCTGTTCACACTAAGGCGCGGGACTAGGATGGGTGCTTGACGTAAACATGCAAAGGGCTTCGCCTATCACATAAATTCGCAGGAAAGGCTGTTAGAGAGGTCTGGGGGATATTCTGCCTTGATTAGAGTCAGTCTAAGACTGCGAATATTTAAGTATGAAGGATACTTTCGCTGGTTATTGGACGTAGGGTGGGACCTGCAGCTGGCTAAGCCATGCTGTCCACCTGTGGTGATTGCCTCTCTGCTGCACTGGCTTCTGCGAGCCATGCGGGACAACCATTCCGGCACTTCCTGTCAGCTGCAGTTGAAGTGCATTCGCCATTTCAGCCTGATAAGGGTCAGAGAAACCTTGCATATGCTCTTTTTGGCACATCCCAGGCCATGGCCAAGTTGCTGCGAGCGCTGCCGACGCAGTGACTTTGCACAGAAGAGCAAGACACATGAGCCTGAGGCGCTCTTTCATGTTGAGGAACAGCTGACGCTGCTTCACTGGCACACCACCTGCTATCTCTGCCCCCTGCACAAGCATTGCACACTCTTTCGAGCTCCCCTGACATGGCGGCTTGCTGCTCAAGGCATGCGAAGACGGCCCTCCTTGACCTCAGAGCACTTAGTATATCCGGAGCTGTCAAGCCCAGGCCCCAATAATAAGTATCGAGCATGGAGTTGGGCTTCGAAGAGTGCTATATAGGGCCTTCATTGAAGGGTGGCATGCGAAATCACCAGAGCCGCAGAAGCCCACAGAAACCTCCGGTGCCTCTGAGGCCTTGCGGCCCCAGTCTGCTGCCTCGAAGACGGCGTTTCCCAAGGAATCGTCCCTCATCGGGCCGATGCAGGCGCCTGCAGTGTTTCCTCTAGAGATGCCAGAAATTCCAAGGATTCCGAAGCGCGGAGGACAGTCAAGACGGCGTTTTTCCAGGAAATTTCAACTAATGACATGGTATCACAGACGCTGCCAAGATTGCCAGATTTCTACACATTCGTGTATGTACAGCTCTGCATGCTCAAAGAAGATCCTCGTAGTCGACACTGGCGATCCAGAGCAAGCTTGGGTCTGCAGTTACCCTGAACCCCCAAGTGCAGCCATGCACCCTTAACGCTTAAGCAACAACGAGCATGCTTTCAGGTGAACCCGGTGCTCTCCGAGTTTGACCTCGCACTGCAGAGGCTGCGCTCGCTGCACGAGGAGAACTTGTGTCATGTAAGTCGGGAGAACTTTGGCTGCCTGCCTTACGGGTCGTCAGGGGCGAGTTCGGTAAATTCCAGAAGAGGGCAGTCGGAGAGCAGTCGGAGTCTTCCAACATGCTGAATCTTTTTGCTGTTGATAGCCGACTATCACTCGATGAAGACTTTGTATGAAACCAGGACTGAAGGGGCTCAGACAGCATGGACATACATATATATATATATACACATACCATTCAAAACATTCGCGCCGCTTGCCTGAACCAGGAGTCAATGATGCAGCTCCAGGCATGGAGTGCCACGCTTATGGCGTTTGTGGTTCCTCGGGGGCCAGGGATGGTTCGAATGTAAGCAGTTGCTGCTTCACACATGAGAATCTTCTGCCAGCACAGCTGTTTGTGCTTGAAGCGATAAGGCTGCGAACTGTTCCTCTGTAGACCATGAACCTTTCTTGAAGGCCAAGCTGCGCAGCTTGGACACAAATGCAGATGGCGTGGCATGCGAGACTTGCCTTTTCGACTGTCACACGTCACGGGATTTCTTCGAGAGGGTTATTGGTTCAGCTGCCGGGGTTGTGGTTGTGATGTGCAGTCCACTTTGGACCGCTGCCTGCCACGACTCCACCAGTGCAGCTTGATCCATACACATTCAGTACATTGAAAGTTACACTGTAGCACGGATTTCTTCAGAGTCCGATGCCCTCCTTCTAGCATCGCTTTAAGCATCTTTGGTCTCCTTGCGACTCGCCTGCTTCGCGGCAGCCCTAAATCGACATGCTAGGCCGCTGGAGGGGCCGTTTGGGACTCCGAATCCCAGCATCCTTCTGCCGAGGAGGCTGGATCGCTTGTACTGCGGCTGCCTGAGCGGCACATTGCCTTCGAGGACCCGCCGAATAAGGGATAAACTCGAGCCGTCCAGACGACGCAGGTGTCGCTGTAGGGTTTTTCTGGAAGCCTATGTGTACGTACCTACCGCTTCCTTTGTGACCCCTGCGGCTTTTTAGGAACAGGTGGGGATCCAGCGCTTCAATTTTTTCTTGCTGCCATATTTCATTCATTAGTATATGTCCAATGTATTCAAGTGCGCAAAGCTGCGCCTGCCGTGTAGTGCAGTCGTGTGGGTTTTGCTGGACTATATCTTAGCCATACAGTGTAAATCAGAAGTAGAAGCACATCACAGATTTCAAGTTTACAGGCGAGACGTCATGGGCGGCTGGGTGGTTGAGTGGGGTTGTGATGGGCATGTGGATCTTTCACGATGTCATCGATGTGTCCCTGCCCCACATGTCGGGAAGTTCCACATATTTTCGGCATGTGGATGCAGAGGGGTTGAAAGAGACGTAGTCACATCTGCGAAGTCATGTGTTGATGAATCGTAGACCGCGTCGGAACTATTGGGACTTCGGACACGTCCTTTCCTTAAGGTCGCTTCTGTGAACACCCACACTGAATGGGTAGGCTACTTGTGTGTCCTGGAACCCTTGGCACTTGGCGTGGGGAGGGTACACGGGTCGTCGTCCTTGGCTTGAACATCCAGCACAATCGAAACGGCAAGTCCGAGCGAAGCGTTTTTTGTTTTGTGGACTTCCTGTCACAGTGAGGTTATGCGAACCGAACACGGGACTTCACGGGTTGCATTTATCAAGCCTCAGCGTATCATTCGGCGAGCTCCCAAGGCTTGATTGACCTTTGTTTATGTTGGATCGAATATCAGCACGGCGTCTGCTTCCAGGAAGGTTTATCACTTAGCCCATTAGTTACCTTCAGTACCCACTCGACGGGTCATGGGTAGTATCTGGAAGCTTGCACAGGGTCCCCTCTGTTCCAATGTTCAGCAGTCTGCGAGGAGAGCGAACCCAGAACAGTCAAGGACAGATTGGCGTTCATGTCCGGTATTGCTGGGAAGCTGTTGGAAGGAGTTTTGTAGAAGTCTTGGCATACTGGCACGCATGGCCCTGCTGCGGGCTGGTGGCTTTCCTTGCATTTCGTCACCTGTGAGGATCCGGAGTTTGTGGCCGAGAAAGATGTGGCGGACACCACGCCTGTCACAGAACCAACAGAAGGCGCTGATATGGAGGACCCGATGCTGCAACATGGACCTTGACGATGTTAAAGTTCCGAACAAACCATGTAGGAGCCATCAAGTGTGTGAATTTTTGTCGTCTTTCCTTGGTACAGTGTGAGTATCGCCCGATAGTCTTAATGTCAATATATGATTTTGCCCATGTCAGCCTGTCATTCGTGTTGTCGTTGTCGCTGGCACGCTGCTTGTCTCCACATCACATCTGAGCCTGTTTCCTGAGTGACGATCAGCTCATCTATCCCGTTCAACCTCCAGGGATTCTTCCCGCTGGTCAGAGGCACGTTCGTGTCAAAAGCTGCAAGGAGGATCCTTATGACCGAATCCGCATGAGCCAAATCGATCTGAACAACAAGCTGATGGAGCTGGACCAGGACTTACTTTGCACAGATAGGGGTCTTGAAGTTGGCAATACAGTTTCGGGTGGGGGGGGGGGGTTCATGACGTGCTTCTCGGGTTCAGGTTGCACCCTGTATAAATTCGCAGGTGTGCTGGACCAACTCTTCCGAGGTGCCTGTTCGATTGTTGTGATTCTAGAACAGCAACATTAGAAGACATTAGGAGATACTCGTAGTGCAAGCCTCTCGAATTACGAAACATGTGAAAAAGACGTCTTCTGACATGACCAGCAGATTGAATCCGGTTTGGGAATCTTGACCGGCGACGTTGCCTAAGCTTTGCATCGCAAAACAAGTCACTGGCTGTCTTCTGTGATTGAGGAGGGGTTCATGTGTTGGTGAGATCGGGCGTTTCCTCCATTCGAAAGCACACCCGCAATCTAATTTCGCAACTGCACCATGAACGAACTATGTGACGCCTGACGAGCCAGGTTCAGGGTGTAGGGTTTGCAAAAGGGTTTAGGATTGCGCTGCTCTCCCGAGTGCAGGAGTTTGCCAGAACGACGGGAACCAAATTCTTCCAAATCGACCGGGCAGAGCTCAGCGTGACATATCTTGCTGCCTGAACAAGCAATGAGCTCTAAACAAAACCCTGAGTGCTCTGGCGAGTCCAAATCAGAGGATTTAAACTCTTGAACTACAAAGCATGAGCCGCCCCTAAGCCTCCAGCCTGCCTAGTGCGAGTGTGAGCATCGAGACTCCCAGCTTCTTTCCATCAGGGCCACTTTCGCGGGACTGTAAACGCGATAGAATGCCGCTTGTGACACATTGCATAGCTCTTGATGTCGTCCAAGCTTGGTTTAAAGGCTCCGCCAATGCCTCGCCGATAGGATGGCGCTGAAAGCTGAGGTGCGGCACCCTCTCTTCAATTTGATTACTGTGCGCAGCTCAGTGAGATCGGGCTCATGGTACAGGCTCTCGTCAAGATCCTGGCCAGTGGGTCCCCAAGAACTTCTCAACTGAATGTTTGGTTCTGGAGACGAGAGTGTCTACATCTTGGACTTGGCTTGTTGACATGTCACGTGTCGGACGTATCTAGAAGGCACGTCCTGCTGGTCACGATCATTGATCCCGTACTCCTGTCAGAAGAGTACCAAGTCCCATGAGCAGAGTAGTCCGACGCCATCCAGTCGCCTCGCCTGACATCGCTTCGACTCTTAGTGGCGAGGTCCCCGAAGATCGCAACATCTAGAACCCAGAAGCCCACATGTATTCGTTTTTTTCGCAACACATCTCAACTACATGGGAAGAGACAGCAGTGTTTCAAAACCTCGAAGGATCGCCATAACAGTGGCAGCCAACAGAAGATCCCAAAGGTATATAAATATATTCTATCTCCTGAGAGCCCTTTCTGGAACCTCCACGAGCAAGGCATTCATGATCATCGTGAATGCAGCACAGAGCCTCTGCTTGCAAGAAAGCTGACTCTACGAAGCTCTGGTTTTGCTATTGCTATTCTGACACTGGCAGCGCTAGCATCTCTTGCTGAGCTCCAAGCCTGCAATGTGGGGATTGTATGGCATTGTCGGTTCTCCATGAAAGAACCGAGCATACGGCGGACGTCAGAATAGACTTGAAGTAGATCCGCGTTGCTTGCAACATCGTTTGTTCTGCATGCCGAGCCTTTGAAGCAGCATCAACCCTCAGCGTCACCGTATCCACCCTGCAAGGCAGACAGCGATGTAAAGACATCTCCGGAAAAAAGAACTCTCGACCTACCAGCCACATCTTAGAGCATCGAGCCGCGAAGGCACTTTGAGCCTGAAGTGCGTGAATAGGAACCAAGCGCCATAAGCCATACCAAAACCCGAAAATTAGTCAGGTACTGACAAAGGAAACAGACAAGGGACTTTGCAATGATCGCCTTGGTAATCTGAAGAACACTGGCAACTGAAATGCCGTCTGCAATCTTCACCGCACCGAAGCCATAGCAACACGAACACTCAGCAGGTCGCCGTTGCAATAATATTGGCAAGCGCCTTGACAACAACAAGGCGGATAGACACTGTTCCATGTACCCTCCTCATTAAAGGCATTCATACGATACTAAAGCTGCAGCAGTGTCGTAGCATGTGTGCAGAAAGCCGGGGGTTGCACTACTGTGGCTGCGAGCTCAGCATGTGCCTTGCAAGACTTGCGCAGGCAACCTGAAATCATTCATACATATGTGTCCCTCGATGGTCTACTACATGCAGTGCCAAAACACGCATCTGCGGTTGTCTGTCTGTAGGCCTGCTTACCGGTTTTCTCATACATATGTAGTCAATGTAGTCCTCAGAAATCAGAACTTAAGGCTTTGCAGAAATCCTTTGGCATCGAAGGATTGGATACGATGCAGAACTCACTGCCACAACCACGGGCGGCTCGCCACTGTGGATGAACATTTGGTCTCTGGCCGCTCGGCTTCAGCTGCAGCCCCTTGTTCAGGGTCCTTATCTCTGAGTCCACAGGAAAGAGTCAAGTAAACGCAAGTGTGATATTTCACTGCGTTCAGATCGGCGTTCGCTTTCAACCATTTTGTCCTCGGGTGCTCGGCTCTAAACAGAATCACTCTCGTTTTCTTGTGTTCGCTTTAGAACTTTAGGGTTTTCTGATGGTGGGGACAACTACGCTAGCCACTTCAAGACCATGAATGTAAAAGCGATTGGCCAGGCTCAAAGAGAAGCTTCGTCACTTGTACGCTTCTGCTGTGTTCTGTAGTACGGCAGCAAAACCCAAACTCAGTATGGGATGCTCAAATCTCACTCCCCTGTTATGTATCGCTTCGCCCTTTGCTTTCCCAGCATCCCCGCAATTGAAGCCCGAGAACAGGTCTGCACCCTGTACTTCGCAGTGGAGTGCACACTTCGCATTTGGACTTTCCGTGTGGAGCTGAGAAGTTGCAAGCACGGGCCCCGCGCCGAAGCCAGAAACCCCAAACACGGTTCATGATTCCACTGTGGGGTTAATGCTGCTCGCCTGAATGCTCTTGGCGTAACTACCAATGCCATGTTTATCACGCCCTTTTGGAGAGGCATGTAGTCAGATGTGCCACCGATCTCGGGACCGTTTTGCAGGGGGTGGTGTCGACGAAAAATAGCAGGTCCCAGTCAGTCAGAAACTCAAATAGACACTCTGGCCTGAGAGGCCTTCGTTTGGAGTTTCTGGGTTTTGCTTTGCTTCCTTGTCGCTGAAATTCAGGCGGGGGCCTTTTATGAGAGGAGAGTTCAGCATGGGCCAGGGGCACCTTCAGTTTGGAGATGGGAAAAAAGGTTTTCGGGCTCACGAGTCCGAAGGCTTCTGGCTTAAAGCTGTGGGTTTCGGGTGGACCTCTTGTTTCTGTCCTGGTTGAGTCGCTGCAAACCAGACGCAAAAAAGAATTGTCTATGTATCTATCGCTGCATGACAAAATGCCTCGGATCGAGTGGCCAACAATCAGAAAGCCGAACATGTTCCGTTCGACTTGGCAGCACCTCCTGCACCCTCGCCCTTGCGGCTGTCAGCTTGTCTGCCGCCTGTCCATACCATGGATGGAGGCTTCTTAAAGGCTTAGTGGGGCTTCAAATCTAAGCCGTGGGGACAAAGAATGGAACACCGATGCACAAGTACTTTTCTCTACATACTGCGCATTCCCTGGATCCAATGCTTAATCTGGAGATTTTTCGCCGCAGATGAGACGAGCCTGTCAATCCCTTCTCATGGCTTGTTCGCCTGGCTGGGCGAGGTCGGGAATTCTTCTGCGGTGAGGCGTGGCCTTGGAACCTCTTTGATTTGCAGCCTGGCTGTGACTAAGATAGGGGCCTTAATAATTAGAATAGGGTTTTGGGTGATATATATATATATTATACTACCAGTATCATCAGGAACCCCCAAAACTAGCATTGGTAGTCATTTATGCCCCCTATATTCGCGGCTACGGTGCCCGAAGCATAAGGCCCTCGACCCTCAGAGGAGATGAAGGAACCCGATGCTGGTGTACCTCGCTGGTATTCTTTGTGGAGCAGGTGTGCCGACAAGGTACCTGGATATTTCCCTCAGCCAGGGTGCAACAAATTCTATAAGATCTGGAAGGCCCGTATTTTGTACGGAAGCCCTGCTTGGTATTCGCTGCTTGCTGCTTGTTTTTGGGAGGGCTGGGGGGAGTCAGTGTAGTGCAGACGGCTTCACAAGGGAGGTCTTCCTCCGTCTGTCTGCCCGCACGCAGATTCACTACCACTGTTCTCTGCGAGGACAATCCGGAGGAGCTATTGAAGCTTGCAGATCTTAACTGCCCCAGTTTGGGTGTGCATGTTGAGGGGTTTGCATGAGTGAACTTTCGAAGAACCCTCAACCAAAAGCCTAGCTCCGGCCTTTAGAGCTGAGGCTCCTGGTTGTGTGCTCAGCAGCAGACTTTGCACCATTCCTGTACGGTGACGCAGAGAGCTCCATCGTGACTTGGTAGAAATCCGATGCTACGCCAAAGTTGCTTCAGCACAACCTACAGTTCTAGCAGCGTGCAGGACCAGCTATGGCTATGCCCCATGGTCCAAGCATGAAGCTAACATCATTGACTGAAGCGTGCCAGCTCAGGTACTGGATGCTTTGCGTGCGCTGCCTCCTGCCTCGCAAACCGTGAGGTTGCAAGGTTCATCACTGGGGTCTGCAACTCCTCACATGCCCGCTCGTTCAGCCATCGACGGCCAAGGCTAAGATGTAGGATTTGATTCTCCCTTCCATAATAATCGTCTCTCAAAAAGACCCGTGGAAAGATGTTGCAGTCAGCGGGGCCAATTAACTCACAGACATGAGGGACCAGTTGCTACACTCTCAGTTCCAGGAAGCTGCTTCGAATCATTCGTGTCTTCCGCGTCTTCCGGGTCATCAAGCAGCTGTCCAACTTGACACATGCCTGAGTTGTAAGGGCTTGTCGTACTGCCGCTTCCATTCAGATTCCTACAGCTCTTCTTCCCGCATGACCGGGATTTGGAGCACAGGGTTTCAATGCCTAGCTTCAGGGTTTGCGGCCTGCGGCTCGAGAAGGTTTGAAGACGATGCGGTTGGTTCGAGCACAAATGGCCAGAGTCTAGGTTTGGGACACCTCCTATAAAATAGACCCGGATATGTATTCAGATCCTTACCACAAGGGACCCCGACGAAAGGCACCTTGGGCCGTTCGGGCACTTCCAAAATCTCATGGTGTCCGACTTAGCCCCAGAGCTGCGCACTAAACGACTCCAGCCAGAACCCCCTGGCAGTCGATTTGTGAGAGTGGGATCTGAAAGTTTCGTAGAAAGGCTAAGACTGAGAAGCTAAGCAGCTGCGAGGATGGTGATGATTGCCGACTCCATCAACTCGCTTCTCTGGGCCTTGGTGATGCTCGTGATCATCATGTATGCCCCTGGGATGAACCCTGGAGTCTAAACATCCCTAAGCCGCCGTTTATTCTCTGAAAGGTCGCTGATTGAAAGGTCCACGGTTTCGCAAGCAGTTTGGACAGTCTGTTTTCGAGGAATGCCAGGTTTTAACTCGTAGAGCAACTGCAGAGGAGAGCTAGTGTGATGTGCTCCGTGCCCTACTGAAGAAGGGTCAGTGCCCATGGGTTAAGAGGTCAAGAGTTAAGGTGCCTACAGTCAGATAAGTGATGTTTGCTGCTGGTGGTATCATGTTCAGTGTCGCATCGGGATCATCTCCTTGCCTTTGGTTTGGTTGTCTGTGTGGCTTCCAGTGTGTTGAGTCTATGATTTGTCGAGAGGTGTTTGCGGTCTGCATCATGACCTTCACCTCGGATTGGGTGGCTCGGCATCGGAAAACCGCTGGAGATGCTCCATAGAGAGAGGAAGAGGCAGGGGCTTTTGAATTTTATCATCTGTCATATAGAACCATGTAGAGTATAGATGCACCATGATACACTTATGACAGGCACTCGTCAGAGTTGCTCACAGATTCCGATGCTTTCTCGCGCGTCGCGCTCGCGGCAACACCTTTGCGGGATCCTTCCTTGGGCCATGGCTTTCTGTGTTTCTCCAACACCTACACAGCCTAGACACCCAAAGCCCGCACCCTGCACCTAAACCCCGAACTGGAAGCATGAGACCCTTAAGCCCTAAACTAAGCACTGAAGACCCTTTACTTCATGGTAAGATGGAGGAATCCTTGAGTTGCAGTCGCTGGCTTGCTTTACTACAAGATGGAGAACTCTTTCATGTTGGCACTTGTAGTTTCATTCCAAGATGGATGATGAACTGCGAGTTCTTGGTAGTTTCAGTCCAAGAAGGATGCTCCTGGAGTCGTTTGCCGATTTGTCGACCCTGCCATGCGGGCTCGTCCTCGCGGATAAGGAGGCAAAAGGCGGCCAAGCAACAAACAAGCAGCAGCCGGTCAGGTGGCGACGTCGCCTGCTGATGACCCGGTGGTGGGCCGCATCCAGGAAGCTTTCGGATCCCTGGTTCCTCGGATGGGCACTACTCACAGGTTGGGGCTTTGGGGTTTCATCGGGGCTGAATTCGGGTTCGGAGAATTTCGCAGGGCTGTTGGTGTGAAAGCCCGATGCAAAAGCAAACTGTGTAGGGTTTGCAATTTGGGGTCTTGGCTTTGGGGGTGTTGGGTGTTTCGGGTTTGGGTTGGAGGCTCAGATGTATAGTGTCAGAAAATGCATCAATCGTCATAGAGGCGTCAGGGAACGGAACTGTACGAGTCGTTACAGAAATCGCAACTTCTTTGTTTTCGGGTTGAGGCTTCTCAGGGAAATCTATCAAGGCCGCTGCCGACTGCGGTCCAACACGCGGGACCTAAAGCCGTTCGCATGTAGCCGACGTAATGAGCGACCTTCCATTGCTTGCTATGGCTTGCAGATGTGGGAGCCATAAATGAAGCCAACAGGCATTGTCAAGGCCCCAAGCCATGAAGCTCTTGAGCCGTGAAGGCTTGGGCCGTTCCGTCAGAATCAAGTCTTAATAATCAGAATGGGTCTTGGGGGGTTCCTTATTATAGCTTTTGTATATCATACCCAAAAAAAACCCTATTCTGAGTATTAGGCCCCTTTAGTAATCTCGAGCTTAAGGTTTAGGGCTGAGGCTGAGGGCTCACAGCCGCGGCTGGAACACCAAAACCCTAGAAGTCGAAACACTCTAGGAAGTAAAGAATGCTCTTTCAGAGCTCAGGGGCAGTCTTTCTTCACGCTAGTGGTGGTCATGCTCGATGGCGTGGACTTTGCGGACATCCTGGAAGACCTCCTTCTGGTGGGTGTCTCGTCGATGCTGTACCCAAGAACCCTGGGCTTCATCAGGTCAGTAGGCTGGTTTTTTCAGAGAAGTGTGACAAGGAAACCTCAACCCTTTAGAACCCCAAACTGAGAGATCGCAGCACCCGTCCTGCAAACTTCATGTCATGAGAGAGAGGGGGTACCAACACAGCTTAGCAAGTAATTTTGCACACGTCATGCGTAGTCTTTCAGATTTCAACCCGAACTCTGCCTGTGAAAACTAGGACCAACTAGGAAGTCATCCTTGGCTGTTCACGCACTCGATCCGAGGAGTTCGAGTGTCGAATCGGAGTCAACTCCCCGACGGGAAGTAGCCGGAAACAGTTGAAACGCAGACCTCAAGCCTAAACCCGCCGCGCCCAAACCCCCAAACGCCTGCCTCAGAGTTTGCTTAGGTTCTCGGTGGATTATCAGAGAAGTGGTCGGAAACGGCAAGGTTTGATTCGACAACCTGATTAATTATGGAGTTTGTGTCACTACCGGCTTATGCAGTAACTCCATTGCCGAGGCTGGATGCCCTTTGCACTCCTGATGTTCTTCGCAGCTGGGTGGCATCTGAGGGCACCCTATAGACTCTAGACCTTAGTACAGACCCTAAATAGAAACTGTTGTAGTGGGATGATGACTATAAGGAGCCTCAACGCCAAGCCACGACATTTCCGAATTTTCTGCAGTGCATCGGGTGCCCTGAAACCGCGTCGAGCATGCTTGTAGGCTGTAGACATCTAACTTCAGATAGATGCTCTCACAAAACAATCGGCCGCAGCATGCCAATTAGCATGTCAGCATCGTAGCCTTCGATCCCCTTTCGTGGTGAAAAGGGCTCTTTGCTCGTGCCTTATTGCAAGCTTGGATTGATCAAACGATCCTTTATACATGCGGTTGCATCGTATCTTTGAAGAAGAAGCAAAAGCGCGCCCCCTCTAGGTTTACCATAAGGGCAGAACCCCGCCTCAGGGTCTCTCCCCTTGTACATGACACATGTTTTGGCCAAGAGGTTCTCTTCACGAATCTGGCTGTGCTGAATGCCCCCGCCTTACTGCGAGCTGATTGTTTTGTCTAACTGCCCTCGAATGTTCCTTCGCTTGTGCAGCTGGCGGGTGGCTTTGTTGGTGGTCTCGACTGCTGGCGTGGACGCGCGGAGTCTCAGCACGACAACAACACCACCGGCTGAGGTTGTGACGGGCGTATTCGTTGACCGAGCGCTAGAAGCTGAGAAGTCTCAGAGGGAGTACCAAGCAGCTTGGTCTGCACTGGGATGTCACGTTTTTGTAGTTGGTGCCTTTCATGCAGCATGTTTTTTTGTACTTAGAGACTTAGAGGTTGATATACTGGATCAGGTCAGTATTTGAGGATTTGCGACTGGACTTTATAACCCAAGGCCCATGGCCCCGATTTTAGCTCTCAGCATCGAGGGGCTTTGGTGTCAGACAGCCTGAGGTTTTTATGGCTTTACGAATTAGGGGTTTCGTGGTTTCTGACTTAGCTCCATGGATGCATCCAGCATGCTTAAAGGAACGACAAAGGGTTGTTCGCGGGACTGGCACTTGGCTTCGGGCTGAATAGCTGTATGGGCTTAAAAGGCCCAAATTGCGGAGATACGCCCTGATAACCAAGGGGCTGGGTAGGTAAGCTTTGACCTTCTTGGGGCGTTTATAATCCTACTATAATCAAAAGATTAACTTTTTTGGGCTAGGGCACTCAGCCCCTAAGATACTAACCCCGTTAAAAGCAAGCTGATACATATAGGGGCTGAGCACAGGTGGAACGTGCGCTGAAGAACCAGATCTCGCCTCGACCTTAGAACGGTCTCAGGTTGCGGGGTGTAATATAGGGGTCTTATAATTACGTATATTATTTGGGGTTCCTTATTAGAATTACAGTACAATACACCCCCAAAACCCTATTCTAACTGTTAAGGCCCCTATAGTAGGCTTTGGGGTTTGGGGTCTCAGAAGCTCTAAGGCCGAGGGTCAGCTTGCAGTGTCTTCTTCTCCCGTGTCGAACTCCGAAGGTCTTGTACGGTTTAGGGTTTATATAGGGGTTTTGGGTTTAGGGTAGCCGCCGGAATGCTAACTGTTAGGACCTGTGCAGGAACGCAGTGGATGCAGCTGGCACACAGCATTCCGCAGCAAGCCGTCTCACGTCACTGGTTTCACCACAGGGCTGCTGCTGTCTTTGCCCAAACCTCAGGTTTAAGAAGCAGATCATCCATCTTGTCGCCAAGATCGACAGCAACTTGGCCTGGGATGAGGCAAGAAAGCAGAAGTTATCATTCAGCTGCACCGAGGAAATCTCAACAGTTTTATGTGCACTGATTTGAAGCAACATTCTCGCTCTAATCATAATTCTGGCATTAGAGGCATAATGTGGCGGCTCTTTTAATATTATGGGCCTCTTTAATGCGTTTTTTTCCTTATTCAAGCCGGGACCAAAAAAATGCCCGGCTCAAATAATGCGTTTTTTTTTTTGTTTTG